TAAACATCTTGTACCCTAAGTACCCTACCCAAGAGATCCATCCACCTGTTCAAAATCTGCACAAACTGACACAGACACTCCATGAGGAAAGTCCGAGGATTCTGATGAGGCTAGCAGAGTGAGTGAGTGAGTATGGTTTTACGCCGCTTTTAGCAATATTCCAGCAATATCACGGCGGGGGACACAAGAGAGACTAGTAGTAGGTACTGATGTGGTCAAAAGTGGTTGTTCATAAAATCACAACAATTGTTTGAGAACTGTGTAGATTGGTGGCATAGTCATTCCGGATTTGTTGATATTCACAGTTTTGTGTATTCCCGCAGATTGCAAGAAAATTGTAAAAGAATTCAGTTTTTCTGTTTTAATTAGAGTATAATATGCTACAGTTACCATTTTCATGTGCACAATTTGGTTTTCAAAGTCTATACAACATGTACTTTTATTCACACTTGTCATAAAAAGGTGATGTTTGATTAATGTTCATGTGTATATAAACGGTTAAACCTGATCCATTATTCCCATAAATCTTGGTTACATGTATAGATTCGGGCCCCACTGAGAGATACATGCAAAAAAATGCGGTTGAAGTCTGAACAGATGGCGGTCATATTTATGATCTGGCCCCAAGAGTTAAGTACCAATACTGAAGCAATATGGCGGGGACACCAGAAATGGGCTTCACGCATAGTATCCATGTGTAGGATTGAACCCAGGTCTTCAGTGTGTGCTTGCTTTAACCACTAGGCTACTCCACCTCCCCTTAGACTTGAACCCATGACGACAGGGGACACAACTCCACACAGTGAACTTGAGACCATCAGATGACGGCTCTGCTATCGAATATCTAGTCTAACCTTTCCGAGGTATTATATGTACTGGTCATCTGCTGCTTTCTGACAACTCATGGACATAATTGTTCTTGCCTCCTTGACTTTGTAGATTTTAATACGTATACAGTGAGTGGGTTCAGTTTTACACCACTTTTAGCAATATTCCAGCAAAATCATGGCGGGGGGACACCAGAGGAAAATGGCCTCACACTTGTAACCTGGGTCTTCGGCATGATGAGCGAACGCTTCATCCACTAAGCTACCCCAACGCCCCTTGTATACAAACCTGGGTTCCATTCCCTACATGGGTATCATATGTAAAGCACATTTCTGTGTCCCATACAAGGATGTGAAAAGATAGCGTCACAACAACTGTGATGTTTCCAACTTGGAACAAACCAATACAAGTCTATACCGAAATGCACAAAACCTCTGCCTAGTATTGACTGTTTGTCACATTGTATGTTTTTGTTTTGGTACAATTATCAAAGTGAAAAATACCAAGGGTATATCTGTAGTATAACAGCCCATTGATGCTTATTGAAAGTCGGAATTCAATCCTAAATAAATTAATACTTTTATTAAAAACATGCATGTACTGAAATATGAGCTGTAGATTATTTTCTGCTGAACATAACCTGGCTCCAAATATACAAACTTGTCATGGAAGACTCCTTTCTGTTGAGGGGCGGTGGGGTAGCCTAGTGGTTAAAGCGTCCGCTTGTGACACTGAAGACCCGGGTTCGAATCCCCACATAGGTACAATGTGTGAAGCCCATTTCAGGTGTCCCCCGCCGTGATGTTGCTGGATTATTGCTAAAAGCGGCGTAAAACTAAACTCAGTCAGTCAGTCCTTTCTGTTGTCCTCCTATGGAGTTACACCACTACTAACGACACCTGGTAGTCAATATTTCTGTCCAGGAGCACCAGGTGTCGAGCAAACAACCAGTCCAGGGAGAGGCGTATCGGTAATCAACAGTAGCCTGTAGCTGTATATCGACTGTCAGTAAGGGAACAGCTTGAACAGAGACACTAGGGTTGCAGGATATGTGCTGCCAACATTGGTGGTGTACTGTCTGGGACATGTCACACCATGTTGAAACAGTCAACAAAGTCATAAAAGTCTTCAAATGAAAATGATAACGATGCCTCTGTGGTCTAATGGATAGAGTGTCTACCAAAGGAGCAGAGGTTGGTGGTTCAAACCCAGGCTGTGTCAAGACAGTACAAGATCAGGGTTTTTGGAGAGGGGAGGGAATGGGACGGGAGGGACGGAATGGCAGGGGAGGGAATGGGATGGGAGGGGAGGGAATGATAGTGGGGAGGAATGGTAGGGGAGGAGGAATGGTAGGGTAGGGAGGGTGTCCATGAAGTCTAAAGGATAGGCGGAAAAGCTCCTCAGGAATTTTTTTTCGTGGTGGTGGTGGTGCGTGCGTGTTGTGTTTTCGTTTGTTTTTTTCGTCTTTGCGTGTTTGCACGCCCCGCTCTGAAGATTGAACATAGTCTTTTGACTAGGTCACAATGAATATTATTCCTCCACGCCATAGTGGATAGAGCATCTGCCAAGAGAGCAGAGGGCTGGTGGTTCAAACCCAAGGAGTGTCACATGAACAAACAGTACAAGATCGTGCATAGTCTTCAGCCGTGTTCACAATGAAAATTAATGTCTCATTGTCCAGTGGATAGAGCGTCTGCTTAGAGAGCAGAAAGGTTGGTGGTTCAGTCCCTGGCTGTATCAAACCAAATGAAGCTAAAAGATGGCAGAAAACTATGTGTATAATGAACACGATCATTACGAACAGATTATTTGCCCGACCACTTGCTTTGTTTTAGTGGAAATGTGTAGAACAAACTAAGTGAGTGAGTGAGTTGGGTTTTACACCGCTTTTAGCAATATTCCAGCAACATCACGGCAGGGGACACTAGAAATGGGCTTCACACATTAGAACAAACTAAGAGCTGAAATTAGTGGTACCTTTTAGTTCATCATAACAATAGTACACTGTATCACATGTCAGGCTGATACTAGTGTTGATCTCGGACGTTTACCAACTGGAACCCACAAGTAGGTATAATGCTACTTGCAAAGTTAGATACAGAATCATGGGGACTCAGCTTCAAACCAATGATCATGTTGTCCAAGGGAAGCAACCCTGCTTGTGATACCCTATAGTGGAACTACCTTTGCAATTGTAAATGAAGGTTTTCTGCAATTTGGGGCTTTACCCTCTAACAAACGAGAGACAGCTTTACTCAATCAGAGAAGTCTACATGACTAAGTGTTACACTTGGATAAAAGCTGTTTCCATCATTATAGGGCCTGTAAGGAGGTCATGGCACTTCGCGAGACCTTGGTACTCCCGGTGACAAACCACGTTTCATACTTTTCGGAATGGTCTAATGGTTGTCAGTTAACAGTAAGGAACTGATAATCCTTGCAGGAATAACAAATTCCGATCTAACCATCCCCAAATTAGCCAACTGTTACGACTGTCAACAGCTGTGACAGCCAAGCGTGGTTGTACACTTGGTCCGGTCTAGTAAAGTCATATTTGGCGGTCACACAATTTGGAACCAGAACTGGTTCTTGAATATACGCTTGTCACCGGAAATCTGGTACCGGAGTAAGCTGGGATCAGTCTCATATATCCCAAGTTGGTGCACACAAAGGGAGCCGGGAACCAGCTCAGTACCGGAAGTAGCACCTCGTGAGACTCACCGGCACTATTTCACTCCTATCTTCCATGTTGTCTGTGTGAGAAACTTGAATGTTGATGTGACCTAACAAACTTGGCCCCTCTGGTACAATCAGGATTACAATCAATATTTATCTGGCAACAACAAATCCTGTTAGCTATGTGGTGATAGATCACTAATGCTGATGATTACAATCCTCATAAAATTGGAAACACAAAATTGAAGCACTAGTAAAATATCTTGCAATTCAGAGTTGTAACATCAGATCATAATTTGCCTTCCACACAGTGTATCAAGTGTGTACTGACACGAAAAGTATGTATACATTGTACTACCTGAGATAACAGCCATATACAGCCTAGCCAGGAGATAACAAGGATAGCTCATCTGTCCAGCTGAAGCATCCTCTTTATACCTTATCCCACCTCTAGATATCCATCCTCCCTAGATGTATTCCCTAGATATCCATCCTCCCTAGATGTATTCCCTAGATATCCATCCTCCCTAGATGTATTCCCTAGATATCCATCCTCCCTAGATGTATTCCCTAGATATCCATCCTCCCTAGATGTATTCCCTAGATATCCATCCTCCCTAGATATCCATCCTCCCTAGATGTATTCCCTAGATATCCATCCTCCCTAGATGTATTCCCTAGATATCCATCCTCCCTAGATGTATTCCCATAGATATCCATCCTCCTAGATGTATCCAGATCCTCCCTAGATGTATTCCCTATTCCATCCTAGATATCCATCCTCCCTAGATGTATTCCCTAGATATCCATCCTCCCTAGATGTATTCCCTAGATATCCATCCTCCCTAGATGTATTCCCTAGATATCCATCCTCCCTAGATGTATTCCCTAGATATCCATCCTAGATATCCATCCTCCCTAGATGTATTCCCTAGATATCCATCATCCCCTAGATATCCATCCTCCTAGATGTATTCCCTAGATATCCATCCAACAATGATGTATCTTTGCAGAGATTTATTCCTCCTAGTGAGGGATGGTCCTCCTTACCATGTAGATTAGATATCCATCCTCCCTAGATATCACCATGGCAACAAGAACCAGGTGACTGAATCAGGCCAGTGAGAAGGGTCAGTTTGGCACATTCAGATTTTTGTGGGGATGGTTCTTAGTGTATTGAAACATTGGTCAGGAAACCAGGCAAACACTGTGGTGATGTATCATTGGAGGAAGGCCCACTAGATGCAAGAAGAATACTCAGTGTTCCTCACACACGATAGGTGAGCTTCAGTACATAACACACGCAGTGCATCTCCATAACTCTCTTACAAAATCTCTCAAAGAAATAATCACCCATGACATGGGCATAAAAGATAACGCAATTCTCTTCTTGAATCTTGAACTAACTGTGTCTCCCAGTAGTATAAAAGTCAAACTGTTTTGAAAAAATATTTCAGTACTAGTATATAAACAACTTTATATTTATTTACTTTTAAGTTTGCAATTCTGAATACAAATCACAACCATTGGTGGTGTATGTTATCAAGGCCTTGATAATTTCTGTGATCTTAGCGGTAAGATAACTGTAACTATCTGAAAACATGGTGCTAAGATGATCACAACTCCCATGGTTTATCACTGACTTAGGACAGTGTTGACATGACTAACTTATAGTCTGAACGCTGACTTTGGACTGTCACAGAGCTAAGACCTAAGTATGAGCCACGGCTCGAAGAAGACAAGAATAAATAATTTATCAACTGCAGAGTTTCAAAGGCTCTACTTTCAGAAAGCTTGCATGAAAGCAAAGAGCCTGTGTTAATTCAACTGGCTTAGAGAATAAATATTGTATTATGCAAAATATTAATACTTTATGGTCAAATATGGGAGTTATATCAACTGTTCTAATTTTGTCAAAATTGAATATTATGAATTACTCATTTCATTGGTTCTGAATATACACTATTTTAGTTTAATCAAGAAATTAGTGAAAGAGTAAGGTTATAATATAATCAAACATGGTGAGTACACAGGAATATTACAAATCTGATTAAATGTCGCTGCAATATCATATTTAGATGAAAAAATAATGTAATAAATACAAAATAGTTACATATGGTATTCTGTGCCTCATGGAAATGTCAATTGCTCTGTACATAGTGGATACATCCAATCAAAAACCAGGACACATATGATTGAACCATCATTATCAACAATCATCCAATCAAATGTCAGGAGACAAAAGGCTAAGCAACATGCAAGGGGTCACCATGGTACCAGCCCTAGATCTCAGATAGGTGACATATGATTGGTAGCATTCATTATTTCTGGATGCTGATTGGATAACTGTGGACCAATCACTGTTGAGGTCGTGGCTAGTGACAAGTGCATGACTGTTTACCCAGCCAAATATGGAAGTGTAATAACAAAGTGTCAATCATTCCAGATGATTGACATCCACCATCACATTATAGATCATATATCACAAAGTATAAATACATATTTCACATAAACAAATACACATTTTTCTCAGTTCACGCATTCAACCCTTCTGTAAATCCACTGAGTAGACAATCATAAAATGTAATAAAAACCCAAATCATTAATCAAACTAATTAGAAACCAACGGGTTATATATCTAACTTAAGAGACAAGTTATCATTAACGTCCAAAAATCTTCACCAATATTGTTATCTGCCAAATCCTTAAAGCCATTCATCAAGATTTTGTATGTGATAACAATCTTTACAAGCTTATTATAGCATCAGGAAATTATTGTATCAATTATATAATGCATGATTCAGAAAAAAATCTATAATGTTTGTTTTTTTTCTAAACAAGGAAATATCTAATGGGAATACAAACACTAATGTTTGAAAAATATTTCTGATTTGTTTCCAGACTGAACTATAATGCAAGTTGAAGGCTAACAAGTTGGGTTACAAACATTTTGGCTATATTACACTTAAGAGGCACTTGGTAGTGTTGAAATCATTATTTGGACATTAACAGTGCACTGTGTATGTGTTGAGTAAGGAACAGTCTTCATATAATCATGGACATCTCAGACAGAGAGCTGCCTTATAATATTACTAGGGGTGGGAATATGGCTTGTACATCAGATGTCGCTAACACCCGATGTGGATATCTGACGAGACTAATCTAGAGGTGAAGCTCCATAAACACATCAGCGTATATAAGAAAGTGTGATGCCTCATTGAATAGAGCGATTCTGTAACTGACGACAAGCCAGTCGGCTGGTTGTCACTTCTGATATGCAATAAGTATAAAATACAGTACAACTCTCAATAAACCATGAAACCCTGGCTGAACATTGGCTAAACTTACAAATAGGACATAAAAAGAAAATCAGCTGTTGCCAGAACATTTAATAAAAGACTTTTATAAATATGTTAAAACATTTCGATTTTACAGTATTGAAACACTGTTGAAATTGAATAAAATGGATCTCCACAAAGGGTTGACACAGCTTGAATAGTGTTTTCCGAAACATTATCTGAAGGTCACATCTTCATTAATGCTGAGTCAGCTCTTTTAATCTTGCAGGAAAAAAATTAAGAAAAACAAGGAAACAAATGACCTGAGAAAAATATAATGAAAGGTAAAATTTGAATCTATCTCAAGTTAAACATGAAAGAGAAACTTTAAGGATAAAAATGCCAAGCACGTTTTGAAGTTATTTTTTCAAAGTATTCACTGTCACAGATTATAAATAGCTCATAAACATGAATAAATATCAACAAACAACCATCTGAATTCACACCCATGTCACTGCTCCAAGGAAAGATATGGAATGTCTGTCGAACACTTCTTCCATTGACACCCAAAACACAGTTGCACAAGATGCACATTATACAAAATAAAACACACAACAGGTAACTGTACAGTTTAAAAAAACGATAAACGCCAATCCAAATCTATGTCATATGAACCCCATCAAGGGGCAACAAGGAATTTGATTGGTTCTCTAAATGTAGGCTAATGGAAAAATATATTGCATATGGAACAGTGTTTTTTTATGGTCCACGTGTAGGCAATCACAGTTGAAAAAGGCAGGATCACGTGATCCCACCAAATATGTACTTACTCCAGTGAACCTGCGTTCACCTGTAATATTGAAGAACAAGCTGTCGGAACGCCAGTTGAGAATTTGATCACTTGTCCGCACGCACACACACAGGAAGAGCAGTACGCTCCACCAGTCATAGCAGGTTTGGTTGCCATCTTTGGTTGAATGACCTTGTTGTCATGGTGATGGGGTCATAACCTTGATAACGGAGGTCAAAAGTTGAAGGTCATACTGCTGTTTCTTGATCCTCAGACACAACTAACTGGAAGTGTTCTTGGTCTGAAACATGTCAATATTTCACATATATCCTCAAATGTCACTGACCTTCATTATTCTTGGCTATGACATCTACCAAGTTGTTAGTTCATCTGCTTAATGTAACACTTGTAGAAGTTCGGAAATTTATCAGACGTGAGGCAAATATTTGAAATTTCAACACTTGCAGGCTTTACGAACCTTAACATAATGGCACACCTGAACTCTGCCAGAAGATGACCCAGTTTTATGTTACGGATGTTCTGTAATAGGCTAGAGACCCATACAAATTCATGAAATAAATTGGTAGAGGCATTATTTCTTTGTGTGTTGGTTGTTTAATTCAACACTCAGCTTCTTCCACCTTTCCACCTGATGTCAGCCTTTAACAAATGAGGTCTGGGTCGGACAATCCATTGATTGATATTATGAGTACAATCCATGGCGTCTGATCATACAAATCTGACAAGGTCCACGAAGTCACCTCTAATGACCTGGGTCTGTTGGATGCATTTTTACCCAGAATCCCAATGGGACAGCTGTCGTACTGAACAAAGATGGCAGCAAGTTGTAGTTCTAAGGGTATGAAATTACTCACGCACTGGGGCCAAGCAAACATAACTTGTGTTCCAGTGTTCTAAATAGGCTGTTACAGGGCAGCTCATACCCACTGCAGGCAAATGATACCCACTGCAGCCAACCAATACCCACTGCAGGCAAATGATACCATTGCAGCCAACCAATACCCACTGCAGGCAAATGATACCCATTGCAGCCAACCAATACCCACTGCAGGCAAATGATATCCATTGCAGCCAACCAATACCCACTGCAGGCAAATGATACCCATTGCAGCCAACCAATACCCACTGCAGGCACATGATACCCACTGCAGGCAAATGATACCCATTGCAGCCAACCAATACCGACTGCAGGCAAATGATACCCATTGCAGCCAACCAATACCCACTGCAGGCACATGATACCCATTGCAGCCAACCAATACCCACTGCAGGCAAATGATACCCATTGCAGCCAACCAATACCCACTTGCAGCAGCAACGAAGAACCACTGTAGGCAACCAATACCCACTGTAGGCAACCAATACTCATTGCCATGATGATTTATTACCAGCATGAGTTACTAATATATTCCCCAAATCCCAACCAATGACTAAAAGATACATGCTGTTAAGTGCAACTTGGTTGTAAAATTGTGATACCATTTTGGATACTTTTAGTATTAGTACACAGAGGCTGAGAGATGAGAATAAAAACATCACTGACAGAGAGACAGGCAGACAGAGACAGACAGACAGACAGGAGTGAGTGAGTTTAGTTTTTAAGCCGCACTCAGCAATATTCCAGCTATATGGTGGCGGTCTGTAAATAATTGAGACTGGACCAGACAATCCAGTGATCAACAACATAAGCGTCGATCTGCGTAATTGGGAACCGATGATGTGTCAACCAAGTCAGCGAGCCTGACCACCCGATCCTTTTAGTCGCCTCTTACGACAAACATGGGTTACTGAAGATCAATATTCTAACCTGGATCTTCATGGGTTGACAGACAGGGAAACAAAAGAAGGAGGAAATGGACTATAATAATGTTCACTTGTTGATGAACACCACATTCAAGACTATTGGTATGGCAGATGTAAACATTTAAGTCTGGACCAGACGATCCAGTGATTGATATTGTGAGCACCGATATACATTGTCGGGGTATGATGACACTCTGTCTATCAAGTCATTGAGCTGACCACCTAATCCTTTCAGCTGTCTTACCACCAGTGTTTGTGGTAATCTATTCAAATCCACAGGGTTAAAATATAAAACACACACACATTCTAGATATGTCTGCTACTACAACTAAATGATCATGCAAGAACTTAATTTGTTCAACTGAGAGTGCCACAGAATGTACATACACAATAATCAACTCAACAATTTGCTCAGCAGGAGTGTAAGGAGGGGGAAAAGAAAACAGACATTCACGGTCTGAACCTGCAGACTGGCAGCAAGCTGGGGATCAAGCAGGATACTGCTGTCTTGTCAATATATTATTGTCTGGTATGGCCATATGTGTATAGTTTTGGGTCAGTCAGCAAGTCTTGTTATCTGTGTAGCAAGGTAGCATCTTGTCACCTGCCTCTAGTTCTGGGTCAGTCAGCAAGGTAGCATCTTGTCACCTGCATCTAGTTCTGGGTCAGTCAACAAGGTAGCATCATGTCACCTACATCTAGTTCTGGGTCAGTCAGCAAGGTAGCATCTCGTCATCTGCCTCTATTCAGCAAAGAAGCATCTTGTCATCTGCCTCTAGTTCAGTCAGCAAGTTCTTGTCACCTGCCTCTAGTTCTGGGTCAGTCAGCAAGGTAGCATCTTGTCATCTGCCTCTAGTTCTGGTTCAGTCAGCAAAGAAGCATCTTGTCATCTGCCTCTAGTTCTGGTTCAGTCAGCAAAGAAGCATCTTGTCATCTGCCTCTAGTTCTGGGTCAGTCAGCAAGGTAGCATCTTATTCTGCCTCTAAGTTCTGGTTCAGTCAGCAAAGAAGCATCTTGTCATCTGCCTCTAGTTCTGGGTCAGTCAGCAAAGGTAGCATCTTGTCATCTTATTACATGCCACTAGTTCTGGTTCAGTCAGCAAAGAAGCATCTTGTCATCTGCCTCTAGTTCTGGGTCAGTCAGCAAGGTAGCATCTTGTCACATGCCACTAGTTCTGGTTCAGTCAACAAGGCATCTTGTCATCTGCCTACCTCTAGTTCTGGGTCAGTCAGCCAGGTAGCATCTTATCATCTGCCTCTAGTTCTGGGTCAGTCAGCAAGGTAGCATCTTGTCATCTGCCTCTAGTTCTGGGTCAGTCAGCAAGGTAGCATCTTGTCACCTGCTCTGGGGTCAGTCAGCAAGGTAGCATCTCGTCATCTGCCTCAAGTTCTGGGTCAGTCAGCAAGGTAGCATCTTGTCATCTGCCTCTAGTTCTGGTTCAGTCAGCAAAGAAGCATCTTGTCATCTGCCTCTAGTTCTGGGTCAGTCAGCCAGGTAGCATCTTATCTTGGTCATGCCTCTTTTCTGGTTCAGTCAGCAAAAGAAGCATCTTATCATCTGCCTCTAGTTCTGGGTCAGTCAGCATGGTAGCATCTTGTCACCTGGATCTAGTTCTGGGTCAGTCAGCAAGGTAGCATCTCTCGTCATCTGCCTCAAGTTCTGGGTCAGTCAGCAAAGAAGCATCTTGTCATCTGCCTCTAGTTCTGGGTCAGTCAGCAAGGTAGCATCTTAAAGGCAAGAATTTTATGGATATCAACTTCTTTATTGTGAAGGGTCAAGACATTTGAAGTATATTCAGCTGATAAAGGAGTAAGAATATACTTCAAACATTGTGACCCTTCACACAAAGAAGTTGTCATCCATAAAATTCTTGCCTTTATGTGTATCACTTCTAAATGCCCTTCAAAGACTCCAAGGTAGCATGTTGTCACTTGTCTCTAGTCCTGGGTCAGTGAGCATGGTAGCATCTTGTCACCTGTCTCTAGTTCCTGGGTCAGTGAGCAAGGTAGCAAGGTGGTGTAAAGGCAACAGTTCTGGGTCAGTGAGGGCAAGAGGTGTAAGGCAACAGAACTCTTTCTTGAGAACACTTAGCTTACTCTGGAGGTAGGCTGCCGGTCCTTGTCCTCTGCCTTCTGGGCCTGCTGCTGTGGTGTATTGCCCTGTTCAGAGTGAGTGAGTCAGTGGAAGAGTTTAACACTGGACAATACGCCCGTAACATCATGGTATGATCAGTATAGTTAATAACATCTTAAATTCTACCAATGCATGTCAATATAAAATGTAAAGGTTTTAGTAATATGCATGTACATTCTTTCCTCAAGATTTAGAACAGGATGCGTGAACCATATCTCTAACCCTGAACTGTCGGTCAAGGTTGTAACTCACCTGATAGTCTGTTCTGGTGAGGGAGGCACCTGCGTCAACCAACATGTGACATATAGTTCTCCGCTGGTACCATGCTGCCTTGTGGAGGGCAGTCTGACCTCTGCAACAGATAAAGCAATAACATCTCATTCTAGTAAAACACAAATATTATATCAGGTGAATTGTGAATTGTGACGAAGGGGCAAGGACTAGCCCAGAAACGTTGTGACATACAATAAAGAAGAAGTTGTCATCCATAATATACTGAACATCATTGAAAACGCACCACCTGTATTAGTGTGGATTCCAAGAGCATAAATGAGCAATCAGTGTAAAGTTTACATACTTTTGTAGTCCAATGATTGGTAAAGAAAAGAAACAAGAACCAATCCAGCAAAACTGTAAAGTTTTAATTCAGCTGACCATGAAAGAAAGATGGAGTCAAATTGGAAAGTCAGTAACGTGTATGACCATCGTTAGCAGACCACCGTTAGCAGCAACACAGCTGTACAACGACTCCTCATTGAACTGATAAGTCTCTGAATAATGTTTTGAGGCAATGCATTCCACTCTTGTTGCAAGGCATTCTCAAGTTCACCAAGGTTGTTGATCTGTGGGCGTGAGAGGCGCTAGCGATGTAATCCCACAAGTGTTCAATGGGAGACAAATCTGGTGACAATGCAGGCCATGGAAGTAGAGGAATGTTGTTGTTTACCAGAAACTGTGTTGCAACACGCGGCAGTGTCTTTCGAGCATTGTCCTGCTGGAATGTGTGCAGATCTTGATGTTGGTTAAAGAAGGAACGACGTTGTTCTGAAGAATGGTGTCACAGTAGTGAAGGGCATTCACTCTGCCACAACAAACTACCAGAGCGGTTTTGTGATGATAACTGATCCCTCCCCACACCATAATGCTGCCTCCACTCCACCGATCTGTTTGCACAACACAACGTTGGTAACGTTTCTCCCGCCGATGCCATACCCCGTAGCATTTCAATTAAGTGAAAGCGGACTCGCCGGAAAACACAACACCATGCCAACGCTTGTAACAACCACAAACGATGCTGTTCAGCCCATCGTCGGCGCTTCACGGCGATGTCTATCAGTCAGGATGGGTCCAACATAAGTGCGATGTGAGGTTGTTCCCGGTATTTGGACAGCATCGCGACAAATGCAACCATCATGAACAATAGCGCGTCGCCTGCACGTGGATCATCAACTGTGACGTGGGATTGTTTCTCAATTGTATTCAGTCTCGTCTTTGTCATCATCAAGTAAACGCCTCTTATTTGTACATCTGTGTTGCGTGTTATGTGGGCCTGCATCGCGCGGACACCGTATGGCGGAGATGACGCGGACGGATTGAAGCACTGATCAAACCACGCCGGCCTTGGACAGTGTTGGCGGTTCTGGCAGCCGGCACGTAGATCCCTAATATGGGACCAAACAATGTCACGATCTTGGTAAGGGTGTTAACACGTGCCTGGCCAGGACGCTGGAGGTCCTGGTGGTTCCTGTTTGTTGATACCTGTTGGCAAGTCTTATGATTGTGGAATGATGGCAACCAAATCGTCTGGCAATAATCCTGCTTGATGTGCCAACCTGCAACATGCCCAACGCCTGTTCTTGTTCCTCTGGTGACAATCTTGGCATTGCAAAATAAAATTTACTTGCAGGAGGTACAGCTAAAATGAGAACGTTTTTTGCCGATGGTAATTTATACCCCTAATCAGCATGTTTTACGCATGCAATTTGTGCTTTTCGAGTGTGTTGTGCTTTGCTTTTCGTGAGTTGTGCATGAATTTTGTTGTTGTCATGTGATGTGTTCCATGATGTGTTCGGGCAATCCATTCTTTACTGTACAGCAATATTTATTGTCTTTTGTGTTATTAACAACATTTCCAACATTCATTTTCACTCTCAAAACAATCCTATTACCATATTTCAAAATTTACAGGTGGTGCATTTTTAATGATGTTCAGTATATTTGCGTTTTACTTGAACACCAACTTCTAAATGCCTCTCAAGAACCTCATCTCATTCTGGTCAAGTATTTCATTAAACTGATGCTTTGTTTGGTAGAGTAACAAACCCCTTAGCCATTAGCCAAGCAATACAGTTGCTATACTAAATCAAATCTAGCCCAGATTTAATCCCTTTAATCCCCAAGATATCTGATTGAAAATGTCTGGTTCATGATCAATGCTCCACATTGAAAATTTTGATAATTAATAGTTACTGAAAGTAATACAGTAAACTTAGTTATAATGAAATCATAGGGACAATGTGTTTTAGTTCATTACAAGATATTTTCTGACTAAGATATTCAGAAAAAAGGTCAAGAAAAAAATACAAAACAGCTTGTTAATATTGGACACAATAGCTGTAAACATTTACAAAAAGGGTTTCCAAGGAGATGAAAATAAAGGCATGAAAAGCTGTTGTCATATGTAAAGGTCAAAGCTTCTAAAATCAGTAAAAATGAAAATATCAAAAACTTGAAGTGGCAACGGTGTTAAAAATTACATCAGAACTGTATAAGGAACTTTCAAAGACTGACTGACTAACTGACTGAGTTTGGTTTTACGCGGCTTTTAGCAATATTCCAGCAACATCACGGGCGGGAGACACCAGAAATGGGCTTCACACATTGTACCCATGTGGGGAATTGAACCTGGGTCTTCGGCGCGGACGAGCCAACGCTTTTAAAGGTCACATAAACCCTAGGGGTAAAATACATAAATCACTAACTGGCATCGTTATAAAATGAAACCCCCGGCCATTAAAACTACTCATTTCGACCTTTAATTGACTTAAATCAACCTTTTGACAACAGTGCACAATTCTCACGCTTGAACGAAATTTCCAACCAATCAGAGCGCGACTCTGTGACGTCATATGAGGAAAAGCTTTGAGGGCCGGATGTAGAATTCATCTACATTTTAGGGGGTAAATTATCTTGTTTACAGGCTTGTATAAACCTGAAATCGTGACAATTGTTGTGGAAAAATGAAAGCTATATGTTCTCACAATCTACTGGCATTTAATTTTGTCTCCTGCTTTGCCTAGTTTCCGAGTTACAACTTGTTTTCATAGGCTTCTCTGTCACAATTGATTGGTGTCGTTGAGGCCCTATTTGTATAATGACTGGATCCAAATTGATCCCATTTCTGTGTTTTTTTAACCTCGGTATTTAATCATGTCATGTAAAAATCTGTTTGTATTCTCAAAACAGTTATCGGCCCATAAGTTTTCACATGCAATACAGCAATTAATACTCCCTTGTTGTAACCGTGTTTAGGTGGTATAAACCTACACATGTTATTTGTCATCATTCACTTGATGGTCAGTTAATGAATTTATAACAGGTATAATTAGTGGTAACACACTGCTAGATGTCACCTGCATCTAGTTCTGGGTCAGTCAGCAAGGTAGCATCTTGTCATCTGCCTCTAGTTCTGGTTCAGTCAGCAAAGAAGCATCTTGTCATCTGCCTCTAGTTCTGGGTCAGTCAGCAAAGAAGCATCTTGTCATCTGCCTCTAGTTCTGGTTCAGTCAGCAAAGAAGCATCTTGTCATCTGCCTCTAGTTCTGGGTCAGTCAGCAAGGTAGCATCTTGTCACCTGCATCTAGTTCTGGGTCAGTCAACAAGGTAGCATCATGTCACCTACATCTAGTTCTGGGTCAGTCAGCAAGGTAGCATCTCGTCATCTGCCTCTATTTCTGGTTCAGTCAGCAAAGAAGCATCTTGTCATCTGCCTCTAGTTCTGGTTCAGTCAGCAAAGAAGCATCTTGTCACCTGCATCTAGTTCTGGGTCAGTCAACAAGGTAGCATCATGTCACCTACATCTAGTTCTGGGTCAGTAAGCAAGGTAGCATCTCGTCATCTGCCTCTAGTTCTGAGTCAGTCAGCAAGGTAGCATCTTGTCATCTGCATCTAGTTCTGAGTCAGTCAGCAAGGTAGCATCTTGTCACCTGCATCTAGTTCTGGGTCAGTCAGCAAGGTAGCATCATGTCATCTGCCTCAAGTTCTGGGTCAGTCAGCAAGGTCATATCTTGTCATCTGCCTCTAGTTCTGGTTCAGTCAGCAAAGAAGCATCTTGTCATCTGCCTCTAGTTCTTGGTCAGTCAGCCAGGTAGCATCTTATCACATGCCTCTTTTTCTGGTTCAGTCAGCAAAGAAGCATCTTATCATCTGCCTCTAGTTCTGGGTCAGTCAGCATGGTAGCATCTTGTCACCTGGATCTAGTTCTGGGTCAGTCAGCAAGGTAGCATCTCGTCATCTGCCTCAAGTTCTGGGTCAGTCAGCAAAGAAGCATCTTGTCATCTGCCTCTAGTTCTGGGTCAGTCAGCAAGGTAGCATCTTAAAGGCAAGAATTTTATGGATATCAACTTCTTTATTGTGAAGGGTCAAGACATTTCGAAGTATATTTAGCTGATAAAGGAGTAAGAATATACTTCGAAACGTTGTGACCCTTCACAATAAAGAAGTTGTCATCCATAAAATTCTTGCCTTTATGTGTATCACTTCTAAATGCCCTTCAAAGACTCCAAGGTAGCATGTTGTCAATTGTCTCTAGTCCTGGGTCAGTGAGCATGGTAGCATCTTGTCACCTGTCTCTAGTCCTGGGTCAGTGAGCATGGTAGCATCTTGTCACCTGTCTCTAGTTCTGGGTCAGTGAGCAAGGCAAGGTGGTGTAAAGGCAACAGAAGAGTGCGGAGTGAGAACACTTACTTACTCTGGAGGTAGGCTGCCAGGTCCTTGTCCTCTGCCTTCTGGGCCTGCTGCTGTGGTGTATTGCCCTGTTCAGAGTGAGTGAGTCAGTGGAAGAGTTTAACACTGGACAATACGCCCGTAACATCATGGTATGATCAGTATAGTTAATAACATCTTAAATTCTACCAATGCATGTCAATATAAAATGTAAAGGTTTTAGTAATATGCATGTACATTCTTTCCTCAAGATTTTGAACAGGATGCGTGAACCATATCTCTAACCCTGAACTGTCGGTCAAGGTTGTAACTCACCTGATAGTCTGTTCTGGTGAGGGAGGCACCTGCGTCAACCAACATGTGACATATAGTTCTCCGCTGGTACCATGCTGCCTTGTGGAGGGCAGTCTGACCTCTGCAACAGATAAAGCAATAACATCTCATTCTAGTAAAACACAAATATTATATCAGGTGAATTGTGAATTGTGACGAAGGGGCAAGGACTAGCCCAGAAACGTTGTGACATACAATAAAGAAGAAGTTGTCATCCATAATATACTGAACATCATTGGAAACGCATCACCTGTATTAGTTTGGATTTCCAAGAGCATAAATGAGCAATCGGTGTAAAGTTTACATACTTTTGTAGTCCAATGATTGGTAAAGAAAAGAAACAAGAACCAATCCAGCAAAACTGTAAAGTTTTAATTCAGCTGACCATGAAAGAAAGATGGAGTCAAATTGGAAAGTCAGTAACGTGTATGACCACCGTTAGCAGCAACACAAGCTGTGCAACGACTCCTCATTGAACTGATAAGTCTCTGAATAATGTTTTGAGGCAATGCATTCCACTCTTGTTGCAAGGTATTCTCAAGTTCCCCAAGGTTGTTGATCTGTGGGCGACGTGAGAGGCGTTGGCCGATGTAATCCCACAAGTGTTCAATGGGAGACAAATCTGGTGACAATGCAGGCCATTGAAGTAGAGGAATGTTGTTGTTTACCAGAAACTGTGTTGCAACACGTGTGCAGTGTGCGCTCGAGCATTGTCCTGCTGGAATGTGTGCAGATCTTGATGTTGGTTAAAGAAGGGAACGACGTTGTCCTGAAGAATGGTGTCACAGTAGTAAAGGGCATTCACTCTGCCACAACAAACTACCAGAGCCGTTTTGTGATGATAACTGATCCCTCCCCACACCATAATGCTTCCTCCACTCTACCGATCTGTTTGCACAACACAATGTTGGTAACGTTCTCCCCGCCGATGCCATACCCGTAGACGCCCGTCAGCATTTCGCAAGTGAAAACGTGACACCATGCCAATGTCGTAACAACCACAAACGATCCTGTTCAGCCCATCGTCGGCGTTCACGGTGATGTCTATCAGTCAGGTCGGGTCCAACATAAGGGCGATGTTAGGTTGTTCCCGGTATTTGGACAGCATCGCACAAATGCAACCATCATGAACAATAGCGTGCGCCTGCACGTGGACTCATCAACTGTGATGTGGGATTTTTTCTCAATTGTATTCAGTCTTGTCTTTGTCTTCGTCAAGTAAACGTCTCTTATTTGTACATCTGTGTTGCGTGTTATGTGGGCCTGAAGACCTTACAGCGTTGACACCGTAATCCTGCTGCACGGAGACGGCGTCGGACGGATTGAAGCACTGATCAAACCACGTCGGCCTTGGACAGTGTTGGCGGTTCTGGCAGCCGGCAACGTACGATCCCGAATATGGCGCCAAACAATGTCTCATCTTGGCGAGGGGTGGTAACACGTGCCTGGCCACGACGTGGGCGGTCCCTGGTGGTTCCTGTTTGTTGATACCTGTTAGCAAGTCTTATGATTGTGGAATGATGGCAACCAACTCGTCTGGCAATAATCCTGCTTGATGTGCCAACCTGCAACATGCCCAACGCCCGTTCTCGTTCCTCTGGTGACAATCTTGGCATTGCAAAATAAAATGTACTTGCAGAGGTACAGCTAAAATGAGAAAATTTTTTGCCGAGGGTCATTTATACCCCTAATCAGCATGTTTTACGCATGCAATTTGTGCTTTTCGAGTGTGTTGTGCTTTGCTTTTCGTGAGTTGTGCATGAATTTTGTTGTTGTCATGTGATGTGTTCCATGATGTGTTCGGGCAATCCATTCTTTACTGTACAGCAATATTTATTGTCTTTTGTGTTATTAACAACATTTCCAACATTCATTTTCACTCTCAAAACAATCCTATTACCATATTTCAAAATTTACAGGTGGTGCATTTTTAATGATGTTCAGTATATTTGCGTTTTACTTGAACACCAACTTCTAAATGCCTCTCAAGAATCTCATCTCATTCTGGTCAAGTATTTCATTAAACTGATGCTTTGTTTGGTAGAGTAACAAACCCCCCTTAGCCATTAGCCAAGCAATGCAGTTGCTGTACTAAATCAAATCTAGCCCAGATTTAATCCCTTTAATCCTAAGATATCTGGTTGAAAATGTCTGGTTCATGATCAATGCTCCACATTGAAAATTTTGATAATTAATAGTTACTGAAAGTAATACAGTAAACTTAGTTATAATGAAATCATAGGGACAATGTGTTTTAGTTCATTACAAGATATTTTGACTAAGATATACAGAAAAAGGTCAAGAAAAAAATACAAAACAGCTAGTTAATATTGGACACAACAGCTGTAAACATTTACATAAAGGGTTTCCAAGGAGATGAAAATAAAGGCCATGAAAAGCCGTTGTCATGTCGTCTAAAGGTCAAAGCTTCTAAAATGAGTAAAAAATGAAAATATAAGAAAAATTGAAGTGGCAACGGAGTTAAAAAAGACTGACTGACTGACTGAGTTTGGTTTTACGCCGCTTTTAGCAATATTCCAGCAACATCACGGCGGGGGACACCAGAAATGGGCTTCACACATTGTACCCATGTGGGGATTCGAACCCAGGACTTCGGCGTGACGAGCCAACGCTTTAACCACTAGGCTACTCCACCGCCCCCAACTTTCAAAGACATCACAGTACCCACACACAGCTAATGGAAGTGTAGGCAGGTGACATTTAGTCAGGTGAGCTAATCACGTCTGTATTAACATATGGTCACTTACTTCTCATGGTCAAGCATATCTAATATCACAGGTGGTGCTGAAACACACAAAAACAGAAAACGAAATAAGTTTCATAACAAAATTTAAAAAACACTTACGAAACATCATACTCTTTGAACACTGAATATATCGAGTCTGGATTATAAGTAGATAAATGAATTTGCTCTGCATACGATAATCACTTTAACTTTTTTTATGACATGCATATCTATCTGAATAATATCTATATAGTGATGTTTAATGAATTGATGAATGGTATTACATGATGGCATTACCATTATCAATTAAGAATTTGACGATTCCTTTGTGACCGAATCGGGCGGCGTGATGAAGTGCGGTCATCCCGTACTGGTCAGTGGCGAGGAGCTCTCCGCCACGTTGGTATATCTCCACCAACTGCAACATCAACACAAATACTCACTATTTACATTACAGCACTATTCGTGAAGATCCGGGTTAGAATTGATCTTCGTAACCCATGCTTGTCGTAAGAAGCGACTATGATTGGTCAGACTAGCTGACTTAGACACAGGTCATCGTGATCCCAATTCGCGTAACGGGTTCATGTAGGTGATCACTGGATTGTCTGGTCCAGACTGGATTATTTACAGCTGTCACTTGGTCGAATTGACAAGTAATAAATCACTGTATCCCAACATAGATATGTCTATGAAGATAGAAAAAAGATGATCCAGTCCTATTCCTCTGCATTGATCATCTAATGATTGTATCACTGGTCCAGACTGGATTATTCCATAAAATCAGAATCTGCCTTTTGCCAACCCGTCCAAAGGCGGAAAGGTGTGAGCATATAGTAATGAAATATTTCTCATTGACTGACTGTTATGTATACAAGATTGCTGTTGTTTGAATCTCATCAATCAATCAATTTGTGTAATCAAATCAACTATAACAGGGAATGGTCGGACCCAGTACATATTCCCTTTGAATCGCTTTTGACTTTTGAAATATTGCTGTGTGCGGTGTCATATAATCAATCAATCTTACAGACATATGATCTGGTCTGTAGATAATAAAGTCGGGTCATGACATGATTAGCATCCATCTACACAATTGGGATAAGATGACAGGCATCAACCAAGTCAGCAAGCCTGACCCTCAATTCCATAAGTCACCTCTGACTGACTGACTGACTGAGTTTGGTTTTACGCCGCTTTTAGCAATATTCCAGCTACATCACGCCGGGGGAACACCAGAAATGGGCTTCACACATTGTACCCATGTGGGGATTCGAACCCAGTCTTCAGCGTGACGAGCCAACGCTTTAACCACTAGGCTACCCCACCGCCCCAGTCACCTCTGATGACATGTATGGGTTGCTGAAGATATAAAACTAACCAAGATCTTCATAGCTCTCCTTGGAATCAATGTGTTTTGTGAAATGTAAGCATTGCCATACATTAAACAAAATCTTTGAAAATACGTATCTTAGAAAAGGTAAAATAATCTAACACAGACGCATGTACATCGACTTCCTAAAACGGGAAGCCATGATGGCCATATTGTGATTTGAATCATACCAGGTCTGTAGATTTCCAGGCATTTATGAAAGTGAGTGAGTGAGTATGGTTTTACACTGCTTTTAGCAATATTCCAGCAATATCACAGCGGGGGACACCAGAAATGGGCTTCACACATTGTACCCATGTGGGGATTTGAACCCGGGTCTTCGGTGTGACGAGCAGACACTTTAACCACTAGGCTACCCCACCACCCCTCGGCATGACGAGCCAACCACATTAATGAGAACTCCAGTTGATACAAATTTCTACAGTTAGTATACTCTTGTCATATTGGTTGTAATAACAAGGCATATGCACATCAAAGATTCTTTACTGGTTGAACCCGGTTATTCCCTGTTGTATGAGCAAAACATCAGATGCTTGAATGATATTTCTTATGTTTTGGGCTCTGTGGGAAATAAATCATTCCAAAAATCCTATTGTTTTGGCTGCAAGTGTAACATTAGGAGAAAGATTGCTGGAAACATCAAACCTGGATTGATATGAAACCTAACCAAGAAGGTGAACTACAGTGTGATCACATGACCTACCTTCTGAATCTCCCCGCGCTTAGAGGCATCAATGAGAGCTGAAAGTGAAAGCAAAACTATGAAATGAAAAAAATAGGTGTTTGACTTACAATTTATTTTCTAGCACTCTTTTCTTGGCCATAGTAATTCAAAGACACATACCTAATGCTATAAACTACAATAGAGTTAACTTGGATATTCATCTAAGTATTTTTCTGTGATGCAGGAGACACTTAGCCTTATGTTTCAAACAGACTGTTTATGGCATCTATCGGTAAGAAAGTCCGCTTTGAGTCAGAAAGGATCGATGAAATGCAAATTTGAACATTGTAATTGTTATTATAATATAATATTGACACATTTTATCATTTATTAATACTCAACAGCTTTCTTATATTTGAAAATTTTTCCACCATTTCAAAGTTCTTTTAGAAATTATCATTGTTTTTTTGACACAGTTCACTATTTGTTATGAGGAGGAGTGCAGAGAAAGGGACAGCCAGGTGTGCGCAGAAAGGATGGAGACGGCACACAGCACAGGCTAATGAATCAATAACTTGGTGGGCACTTGTGCACATACTTCTCTAACACCTGGCTGTCCCTTTCTCTGCACCTCCCTCGTAACAAATAGTGAACTGTGTCAAAATTTTAATGATAGTTTCTTAAAGAACTTTTTGGAGTCCGGAAAATTTTCAAATATAAGAAAGCTGTTGGGTATTAGTAAATGATAAACATGTGTACTATTTATATTTATGTGGCAATGTTGTAAATGATCAAATTTAGTATTCATCAGTCCGCTTCTGACTCAAACGGACTGTATGCACACTGACGTTTCTGAAAGGCATTTAGAAGTAGGATAAAAATGAATACATGACACGTTCTTATGGATAACAACTTCTTATTTATTCTTTACACGACATTTCAGAGCTAATTCTTGCTCCTTGATCAGGTGAACACCTACTGTCTACTGATGTGATTAATATGATGGACGAATTGGTGATATCAAGTATGTTATCTTGGAAAGAAAATCGTGAACACAATATATACCGGTAGGCATTTTGAAACACTAGAATCATGTGAGGTATTTATGGTATGTCAGCAACAAAAGACGTAAATTGATCCAGCATTCTATAAAACTGATTTACATTTGTCTAGCGGTGTGATGGTGTGCGTCCTGCCCTCTGTGGCTGCGGTGGCGCTCGACACCGTTGTGAAGTGTATATGCTTCGCCTCCGCCACAGGGGAGTTTGGGGATCCTGGCTCTGAACTAAAGAACATCGCTCATCATTAACATCACAAGCTATTTCAGATAACTAAAACAAAACACTGGATTTGTTTCACCAGTGAAGAATTTAAAAAACTATGTTAAAGCAAATCGCATAAGTTTCTGAAATTACAAGACATTACAAAAAGTATTAATAAATAACATTTGAGAAAAGTTAATGAAAGTAATTTTAAAAAGGGAATTACATGTATTATATAATTTCACATACTTTGAAAATTTGTTTAGGTTGTGTATTGAAAATCTTGAAGTATATAAGAATATATAACAGAAAAGTATATTAAAGTATATCCATGCTGTTCAAGCTGAAACAAAGCTACAAACACCAGGCATGCAGAACACGTCAACAAAACACAGCCACACAGAAATGATAGAAAATGTACAAGATCTAACTTCAGGAGATCAGAAGACAGCTTTCAGCAAGATTAGAGAAGCAAAGGTCTACAAACAGCATTTCAGAACAGAAGGATCAATTATGACACAAGCCTTGAACAAGTTCTTTGGAGTCAACATTTCCTTGAAATTTTGAACTGGCTGTGAAGTTTGACTTGGAATCTTATTTCCTTGGAAACATCAAATAAAACTTCACTTCAGTTCTACGGATACAGAAAATTGTCCATAAGAAAAATATTTGGATAGTAGGGGAGGCAGGCATTTGATTTCTTAAAGTTTGTTGGACAAGGTAGCAACAGACAACAGTAAGGATAAGGGACTGCTTTTTAATGAGCAAACTTTGTAGAAATTGGTATGCATGTTACGAAACATGTTCCTATGAATGAGAATAAATGACTTTACGCATTTAAAATCTTGTTTTTATGGACCTTTTATTTACGATACATAATTTAAAGGTATAAGTGTCAAAAAGGTTGATCGAAATGTTTTTGGAAAATGTTCTTGTCTAAAATTAGAACAGCACATCTGAAAGGTTAAAGATTTGCTCACAGTTTCATCAAAACTTTCTTCATTCTCTTATTGTAGCAGTAAGATGTTAGTTGTCAACCATTTGGATATATGCTATAATACTTTCTTACCAATATCTCAAAGTTTATCGTATATAACTTTATTAATTTCAGATGGCCAAAAAAGCCCTGACATTACCTCTTCCAATTCTTCATAATCATAGTATCATGTCACATTGCTGTGTCCTCTCATATCAAAATAATTGTTGTTATTAAAAAGAGCTTAATATCTCTTCAACAATATTTTGTTTTGAGTTTATTTGGTGAGAGATGATTCTCTGATTCTGCTGACTGTGCATGTTTACACCCCTCAACCTGGATGCAGTAGGCCACGGTTTACCAAGCCAAGACGGTGACATCTAATGTGTATCAACCACCAGTATATATAACATAAACACAGGTGTGAGTGGACAGTCTCAAACTGAAGCAAATAATCCTCATCCCATCGCTGTGCATGTTCATGTTCTAGAGTGAGTGAGTGAGTGAGTGAGTGAGAGGGAGGCTTAGTCCTTGTTTCAGTATTCGCGTCATATCGTGGCATGTCGTATTGAAGGGGGAGGAAGACCTGATACAGTTATAGATCCTTAACACTGATGAAACCAACACTGACAGATCAAGATAACCTCAGGTGATTCTGGACTTTGAAGAAGGAAGGTGTATGTAGTACCCAAGTCACAAAGTGATTTGGTCTAGGTGGCAGTTAACATGAGAGGTGCCTGAAAAATGAGGTGAGTCCTGTGTAGTGTCTTGGATGAATAACGGACTGGGGATTGGAATTAAAGGTTTAATCGTTGAGGAGTACAAGCGACGCCATAGACAGGCCAATCCCAGATGCCATTGCTCGGGGAGCGGTCCATAACTTCCGCAGTTGAAGGCAGGCGTCATTGTCGAGTTGTATAACACTGAGTGCTACAGACTACGTGATATTACATCCTGAATAGGGAAAGGGTCAAAATGAAAAGAGTGAGTTTGGTTTTATGCCTCTTTTATCAATATTCCAGCAATATCCAAGCTTTGGACACCAGAAGTAGGTTTCCGACATTATATGTGGGGTATTAAATCAAACATGAGCGAGCACTTCAACTACTAGGCTATTCCATTGCCCCAAAACAAACTGAGTTGACTGTAGCATTTAAACACATACAGAAACTTCGACTGCTGCACCAAACATGCTCCTTAATGAGTGACTCTGTCTTGTACTTACAGAATGTGTTGGGAGCCAGGGTACTGATCCACAACGTTTGTAACTCTATAGTTTATTGTTGGCTTACGAATGTCGTAAGAACAGTTTGGGGTTCGGGATCCAGGTCTCACTGACAGACCCAGAGATACATTCACAAAATCGATCACCCCATTCCTTTCTCTTCCCCTTTCTTCTAGCAGCCTCGTCGTGAAAAACAAGAATTCCAGTTGCAATAGCCGAGTGAATGTGATCTGAGCCATTGGGCATTGGACTCTGGCAGGACTAAGGGAGACAACTCTACCTTAGCCACATGGGATCCTGCGTTTCTTGTTCTCAAGGTACCAACATATTGAACGATTTTGCTCGTTTGTAGCATTGGTTTTAACCACATGTTCTCGTGTGCACTTGTTCTTTACAGAATTGTGAATTGGCGGAACTAGTGAGAGGTATTGACGTGGGGTCATGGATGCGACAGCCCGTCACATGGAGGGTGGGAATCATGATTGTATGAAGAATAACCGAGGGTGTGGGTGGGTGGATCGATGTAGGAGCCAATCAGATGCTTCTATTATCCAGTGAAATGAAATCTCCATTCTAAGATTATTGTTGGCACTTTAGTAGCAGTTAAGGACCGTGGCTTGCCAATATGTATACTTTGGACAGGCACTAGCTATTCTAGTATGAACTGTACAACCCTAGATGGGCCTCTATCCCCAACAGGGCCCCAGTGCTATTTATAGTGTAAGGGGGAATAACTCTGATTGCCCTTGTTCTAGTCAGTTGAGGGCACATGGCCACTGCCTTGCCATGCTTGTTATGTAAGCCCATCTTGAGCTAGAATAAACCCACATACTTCAGTGATAGTTGTCCTTCATATCACCACAAAGTATATCATATTATTCACACGCTGTGGCCATATTTATAAACTACTCTCCATTTTTATCAATATCTCAAAAAAGTGAGGCACTACAAGGAAAGGGAAGAAGACGTTTTATGCGCCCCTGTCACAGCAATATTTCAGCCTGTAAATCTAAACATATGGAGAATGGACCTTAAGGAACACTGAATGATATGTGGACACTTTAGCTCTGGATTACCCCTTGTAAAACTGAGCTATCAAGGCTGTTAGCAACACAACATCAGCGAGATGGGACATTGTGGCCAGCTGATCTTCATTAGTTGAATCAGATTTGTTTGTTGTCAAACACTACCCTCAGCAATTTGGTCAACTCTTGACCAGACAATCCAGATGGGACATTGTGGCCAGCTGATCATCTTTAGTTGAATCACATATGTTTGTTTGTTTGTGTGTCGTTTAACACAGCACTCAGCAATTATGTCGACTTTTGAACAGACAATCCAGGGATTGATATAATGAACAACAACTAAAGCAGTTCGGGTACAATGACACAAAATCAACACAGTAACTTGGAATCCCCACAGAGTTTGGCTCTTATGACAAACGTAAGTTACAATCCCCACAGAGTTTGGCTCTTATGACAAACGTAAGTTACAATCCCCACAGAGTTTGGCTCTTATGACAAATGTAAGTTAATTCATATTCTGCCTGAAAACCTCAGGGGGATTTCCTTGTGAAATACACTGAACTGTGGGTAATGATGAACTCTGGGTAATGTTGGATTCTGGGTAATGTTGAATTCCGGGTAACACTGGGGACAACACAGAGAAAGTTTCCACATGATAAGGAAAGGGGTCAGAGGTGACAATAGGGAAGGTCAACAACACAGGGTACACCCCACAAGCAGGATTTCACAATATCCTTAATAACACTGACATATCTTCATCACTTCAGCAGGGTACAAACAGGAAGATCAACCACATACTTCGGTTCATTTACTAGCATTGCCTACTAAGAACTTTAACTGCCAAAATTTGAAACCTCAGGAGAAATAATTAATATACAAATTCTGTTATGAAATCCTGACTGTTAATTTAAATTGAAAATGCAGAATAAATAATACTTATAAAGATCTACAAGATTTTAAGTATAAATTGGAATCTCTGAAGAAATAATAAAAAGAGAGTTTGCTATAAAATCTACTTGATTGTTAATTGAAATAAAAGTTCCTACTCGAAGAAGAATCTAAACAGGCATTTTAAAGTAAAGTCAGTTATTTTTAAATACCATATTCTAATGGCCTCTAATTAGTTTCACCACTGGAGAAGCGTACAATATACTCTCTACTGGAGACCGTGCAACATGAGATATTACATAGTATATTGTAAGCAATGTACACACACCACCTCCTCAACATGGGTGCCTACATAGTACCATATCTCAACCCTGTACATGCCACCTCTTGCAAGTCACATTACCATCTCAAGACAATAACCTCAATAGAAATTATCCCAATATTTAGAAAAAAAGTATTTCAAACAAAACACCTCATTAAAAATATACAGAAATTAAATTCAGTTGTTTTCCATTTCATTTCATTTTGATCATCACTGATGGTAATGTTACTAGTTCAAGGTGTGGTATGACAGGAAGTGGGAGAGAATTGTGGGAAGGTAGCCATTTTGTTTTGTGCGGACCTGTTATTGGAGCCTGGCGGGGGCGGAACAAGTAGGTTCTCTGTGCTTTCCGGGCGTTGCAAGGGCAATATTTCAGGGCATCTGAGCACATCGGTAAAAGGCAATATCAGTGAATGTGTTCAAGTGATCAACACACGTATTAATCAATCACAACCCAACAAAAGCAATTAACATTCAAAAACAAAACACACTGTGTGATTTGCTTTGTGAAGTACACTGTCATAAACATGAACATTTCTCCAGTCAAGTTTACTTCTTGGATGTTGTTATAAATTTCTTTTTTAATTTAATCAATGAAAAGAATATTCACTGAAGACAGTTATATCACCCACAATAACTCTTATTAACTCAAACATAGGGAATAGAATATTAAATTTCTCAAATTACGCTGTACTTTCTCGGACCACTTTACTGAAATTCATGGATTTCGTTAAATGAACAAAATTCAATACCATCTTAACATTCTCTAATCTTATGTACATTCACATTTTAAAACTGAAAACATTGAATTAGTATTTTCTAAAGTGTCTTCATTTTCTAATGATTCAGAGGGAGTCACTGTTAACACAAAATTAAAATAATTTGGCTCAGTTTTGTATCATGCTCAGTATTTAACACTCAGCTAAGGTCACAACAAGCTAATTATTTGTTTTATATAACTCTTCACATCATGATATTATTATGTACAGATTTCCTGACTACTCCTTAAACATCTGAAGAAGAAAAATGCTTAAAATCTTATCAGGTATTGCATACATATGATATTTCCAAACTATAGAAGAGTGAGTGAGTGATATTGCTTTTATCAATGTTCCAGCATATCACGGCGGGTAACACCAGAAATGGGCTTCACACATTGTACCCATGTGGGGAATCGAACCCGGGTCTTCAGCGTGACGAACGAACGCTTTAACCACTAGGCTATCCCACCGCCCCCAACCTACAGAAGAACAAATATATATTATTCTGTCTCAGAGAACAATATTTTTTGTCAGTTTGAAATACTAGAAAAAAAATGCAAAGGAAAACCTCCTCATCCCTACTTTTGGAAGAAGATTTGTGGAACAAATAATAAACTTGTGACCTTTTGTCTATGTTTACTCTAAGATGGACGAGATACTTTGAAAGTACAAAGAGAGACTTAGATGAGTTTTTTGCTGCTTCAAGGAATATTTCAGCCATGTCACAGCAGTGAACAGCAGAAAAGGGCTCATGCATTGTACCACTGTGGGGATCAAACCCGGGTCTTCCACATGTGTCAATGCTTTACCTACTGGGCTACCCCACTGCCCTTGAGTTAACAAGAACAGGCTATACATATATATGTAGAACATAAATATTATTTATACATAAATATTATTTTAGATATAAAAAACAGAAGCAAACAGAAGAAAGGTTATACATAATTTGGACAGAAATGCTTTTAACATTTTATATAAAGAATTAAGTGATATAAATGCTTTCAACTTTATGAAATTGTTTAAATGATAGAATCATATATTTATAGCCAGCATTGCAAAACAGATTGAGCATCCGTTATAGGGATTGTTGACAAATGGGCAAGGGCATTATGGGTACAGAGAGCAAACAGCAGTCAGGATACTAGGAGGAAGCTTAGCCCCTCAAAGTCTTAGCATAAACTCAAAACAAACAAAATATCAACTAAACAATGAATTCTTAAATCTATTAAATTCAAATCAAAATATTTTACATACATTTTCCATTACAACTTTCTATGTCTTTAATCAAAATAAATTAAATCTACTTTTATGTTGCCCTGTTAATGATGATAAAAATTAAATACTAAGAGGAGCTAGAAATTATCATTATTGGGTTAAATTCTACTGAAAATATACATGGAGACTTGGCTCTGTTTGACATGTGTATTTCTAGCCTAGAAGAGTGAACTATTCATGTGTTTGTGAGTGCGAGGAGGAGTTATCTCCCCTGGATCAGACTTTCGAGAGGTGCTAAACTGGCAGAAAATAAGCTGCAAATAACATGGACCTGGATTTTGCCATGTAGCGGCTACGGTCAAAGCTCTTCATTCTCTCGGAGTGGGAATATGAGATTTTCTTGTTTTTCCTCCTGTTTAGATGGAAAGAAGGATTTATTCTGATCAAAGCGGTTCAGTTTCAAGATTCAGCAGGTAAACTTTAAGACCTTTCGACAGATGTGAAGTCCACTGTCAACAGACTGTTACACAAGAAAATGTAGTAGAGGCAATCAAAAATAAGGCAAGAGTGACGTCAGACTTTTGATGTTAGGATTGTTACGATATTGACTGGATGAATCCAGATCGTGTTCTTGGCTTACTGGCAGTCAACTCCGTATATAATCAAGTGAGTGAGTGAGTGAGTGAGTTGGGTTTGATACTGCATGGCCAACAAGAATAGGAATGGTGCAGACCGACCTAGAAACATATTCAAGTAAATCTGGACAAGTAGATTTTTAGTAAATGGGTGGCCTCAAATTTTGTTCACATCACGATATGTCTGTGAGGGCATCTCAAAATGATCCACATGAACTTTCACTACTCGGTGAACACCACTGTGCTTTCAAAAGAATATTATACAGGGTATAGATCCCATGACCCTGGCTTCTGACACATCTAAGGGAGACAACTCTATGTTACAAAGTGCTGCACTTAAACCACTGAGTCAGGAGTCTGATTCAAGAGGTGATCGCAGTATTAGAACAGTTGTAATCTATAGAAATCAATGGGAGATACGACGGCAATAGTTCATAATTGCTTTGCGAAATGGGACCCAGATTTGGTAATAAAAAGTAGAACATGGTGAACTCATAAAAAACTAACACACATGAGTTTAACACCATTTTAGAGCTATAACAATATCTTGGCAAGGACACCTAGACTCGTAACATCTCAAGTGACCTCAGTCTGGACAAGCAACCACTCCCCCACAAGACTAACCTACTACCCTAAGGATCATCTTATTATATCCGAAGTTGACTGCATATAATTGTTTTAGTGTTACATTATGATACTGAATCACTATGCCAAACAATGTTCCAGTGTTCTGTAAACCAAGAAACAAGTCTTTTGTGAACGACGCCTATCATTAGGATCCGATTCCATATCCACAGTATGGTTTTAAGAGTATGAATACATAAATAGATATCAACGAGCTCACATATTGGCGCTAAAATCAATCATCACATATACAAGCTAAAACTGCAGCTAGGAACTGGTACACAGCTAAGGCCAACACAACCCTTGTGTGAGAAAATAAATAACCAAATGTGTTGTATGTGAAACCAGTAAAAACATTCCAAATGTATAAAATAAATTTAAATAAATTTTATCATGGCAGCCAGTAAGAAAATCTCAGGTAAGTCGGCTACTCACTGGCAACTTTGTCGTGGAGACTTGGGCGGCGTGACGGGCAGGGAGAATTTGAAAATGAGATCACCATCTTTTGACGTCATGGAGTTATTGTTCTCGGTGACTTCTAATGACTTTTCTCCATTCGTAGCCTTGACCTCTGAGGTCGGTGAGAGGTCAGGGTCGAGTATATACAGGTCTTCTGATGAAATGTCCGTGATGTAATGAAGATTCTCCTGTGCTCGGTCAATCCGAAAAAATCTTTCCGCCGTAGTTGCTGCAAAAAATATCAAATACCATTTAGACATGTGACACAATTTAGCAAAAATATCTTTTATCTAGCACAAATAATGTATATAAATTACAGTGGAATTTGTCAAATCCGGACTCTGTGTAATCCGGTTTTCTCCATAATCCAGACTACTCTCTGAGTCCCGGAAAAACTGTTCTTAATTTATCATTAAAGCTTGCTTTATAATCCGGATTCTCAATTACAGATTACGGACTAAAATAACAGTCCCAACAATCAACTTGCTATGAGAACAATGCTTTGTAATCTGGACTTAGCTCATTAAAATAACAGTCCGTTGAATAAACATCTCCGTTACTTCTGTTGGGGTCCCAGTAGTGGCGAACTGAGACCACAAGACAACTGGCAGTGACTGTCTTGGTTTTCATTTTTATGTCATAACTATCACTGTCAACGAGACGGTAATTTTACTCAAAATGTTAAAAAAGAATGTTTCTATCAGCTGCAGTGAAATCGCATGTAATACACCAAAGTGCTGTCACATAACCTTAGTTATGATCATAAATATTGTACATTTATAGAGCAAAACCTGCAATTGAAATTATGCAAAGCTAGAATATACTTCTCTTTATAAAATAATAGTTTCAGATACTATATTGTTTCGATCACTGCGTCAGAATTCATCTCCTTATATTATTGCGTATGTTTTAACTAAATCATCGGTAGTCGTGGGGGGAACATGTGCACAGCTGATTGCTATTTCCGGCTCTATATACGAGACAAATACACACGGTAATCTTAATCCCTGCATATAATGCAATGCCTAGCAAAAACAAATTAGAACTGAAAAGGTAAATAATCTTGTCTAGTGATGTTTAATTGCAAATTTGACGTCTTTACTGACAAAGTCGTCTTCTGTTGTTTGTTCATGCGAAGCGATATGATATCGTTTTCTTATCCCCTGTAAAAAGTTTAACGAAAGTGTAACCCATAGATAAGCCAACCACCTTCTACAGACTGTTATTTTTTGGTCCTCAAAATTCGGCTTATTAACTGTAATATACGGTAACTCATCGTGGCAGTGTCTATGGTACCGGACAAACGTTGTCTAATCCGGACTGCTTTACAATCCGGACAAATGAGTCGGTCCCAGGCCAGTCCATGATAGACAGATTCCACTGTATATACAAAACTGATAAATGACTTGATGCTTTTGACTTTAGTATTACAAGCATGTAATAAGCCATTCATAATTTTTAAAAAGGTCGCTTAAAGTTCAATTTACAGCTTGTCCTTCAGTGGTAATTTCTAAACTCTCAATAAAATAAAAGATTATTTATTTAAAAAAGGTTGAAGTGTATCCTATGAACCATTCAGTGGATCATGAGTTCAGCCCAATTCCGTGGGGACAGTTTGTCCTTTAGAGATACAATTAGTTGCCTCATGAAAAATTTAACAGACAAAAATAGTTTTACTTCTTTTCTGAAAGAAAGCAGTGTTTCTATATCAAACTGATAATCATTTAAGTCTGGCCTCTGTATGAAGATTGAATCCAACACGCAGATTCACTCACAGTCTAAGAAGCACCATTTCTTTGAGAGTTTCTGCAGTGACTGTGTAGATGTGGGCGATGCCTCTTCACCATTGGAAATATCCTGAAACAGTAAACACTGGTTACCATAGTGACCTGTGGTTGGATATCAACCTGACTGTCATCGTCCTGGACAACCAACCAGCAGCAGGTTGTAACATGACTTGAGGGTACACATTATGGCAAGAATTGATAAGCTGACAAACAGCATACCTTTTTGATAAAATGTGTCTTTATAATCCATGATAATGCTTGCATTAGAACCATCGTACACATCAAGCTTGAACACATTGTGCAGATTTACTGGCAAACAAGGATAAGTTGAGCACCAACCTGACAATTGACCCGTATTAGCATGTATGAGTGCCACCCACTGGCACTTGCCATTGTTAGTGAAGGGCCCCTGGTTGTCTCGCGATCAAGTGTAGTGTGACTTGCTACACCGACGTGAGAGTCTTATGAGCAAGGCGTGTGCAGCTACACGTGGAATCAATTTTATCGTCATGCAATGCATGTGCATTAGCCTACATCTGCTCTACCTTTCACAAACCACATAGGTTTGCTCATTGCCGTGCACCGCCTACTTCTCGTAAACGCGTTTTCTGCGCCGGTCCAACTTATCCTTGTTTGCCAGTAGGTGTAATATAGTTGAAAACACATTCATTCACTGACTGGAATATGGATGCCAACTCACTGAATTGTTTACTAACTCACTGGAATAGGGATAATAACGCACATAAAGGCAACTTGGAGTGAGTGGTGGTGGTGGAATTGGGTTTAACGTCGTGCTTGAGAATATTTCGCTCATATGACGACATGCATGCGTGTGTATGTGTATGTGCGGCTGCTTGTACTAGCCCAGACTTAAGCTGGTTTATAGTGCTATCCCACTGAGATACCATGCCGCAGTGAAGCATGAATACCCCACTCAGACACATTATACTGACTCCGAGACGACCAGTCCTTGTTGTACCCATTAATGCCGAGCGCCAGGCAGGGACCAACAAGTACCATATTTTATCGTCTTTTGGTATGACGCGGTCGGGGATCAAACCCGCAACCTTCCGCATTCCGGGCGGACGCTCTAACCACTACACCACGGAGGCGGTCTTGACTGGGTGAGTTTTATGACGCTTTGAACAATATTCCAGCAATATCACAGTGGTGTACACCAGAAATGGGCCTCACACATCGTACCCATGTGGGGAATCGAACCTGGGCTTTCGGCGTGATGAGCGAACACTTTAACCACTAGGCTACCCCACCACCCTAAAGGCACTTTGATATGTAACGATTGGGAGTCCCACTCAGTGACATTGTAAATAATCTGTAAACCATATCAAAGCTGGAATATTACTGAGTGCGTATAAAGAGCCCCCTAATAATGGGCAGGTTTTCTGCATGACTTACCCGGTTGAGCTTGTTGATTTGTTCTCTAACCTGTTCCAGGTCAGCATTGTTGTCCACGATGATCAGACCTACTGGAATAGCTGGCAAAACAAACAGTCCACACACTCTGGTAACACGGAAGCTCAACACAGAGGTACTTAACTTGCACTTAAGTCGATGATAACCTCCAGCTCAGTTCACACTTAAAACTTACTTCAGGATTTGCAACAGAGGCGTCGTAACTTATTATCAATGACGCTAGAATATTTAGATCTTTACTTATATTTGTTTGAACTCTTTGTTGTTAACATTTAAGCATATAATTTCACGTTTAATTTCGACATGTAAAAGTTAAATTGAGTTTGTCAAAGAGTAAATGGCGAAGGATGAAATTGTTATTGCATAGATGTTTTAGCATAAAGTGAAGAAGCACATGCATAGATGTAAATATATGATCAAAACCATAACCTGAGAATTAATTTCAGGATTATGTTTGAAAATCAACCATGGCTGCATATAGTCACAAAAAAATCAAAAGAGTGTAGGTGATTTTGATTATAGGGTAATTGATGAAGGTATATTCTGCTGCTTGCTAAGTCTAGTGTCTAATATACACCACCAAGTGATGAAGTTGCAGCCCAAAGTCTAGTGCAAACTGGATGATACTAGACATGCATGTGACAGGGGTCACGAGGTCAAGGTCAGGGTCAAGGTCAGGGGGTCAGTCCCAATGTCCATGCAGTATCTGGGTCACATTCTTTTCATCGGTTTGTACAAAAAAGTGTGAAATGAAATAATTTTCTTCTTGCATTGAGAACTAGTGTAAGAAGTGCAGTGTTTTTATAAATCATGTATTTACCTGTTTATATTTAAAATTTATCACCCCAATCACAGATGACTTTACCACATTACCAATGCAATTCCTTTACCAAAAAGATGGCAGATGCTGACAGACAAACATAGATCACCATGGTAACACAATGTTGTCAGACATTACATATATATATATATGGTTAATGCACAAAATACCCTCAGGTGTTTCAAGTGTTAATATGTAATAACCAAATTATTAGTATTTGTTAGCTTTAATGTATGACTGCACTTATTACATAGCTCTGACAGAGTATGTCACATTGTCAAGGTAACAGTATTTTAAAAATGTTCATCTGAGACTAACAATAACCAATAACTTTCTATAATGGTTAATAATAATAAAAATAATAATAATAATAAAAATAATAATAATAATAATGCTAATTTTTACGCCTAGAATCCAAAGCGATGCTGTTCTCTGGCGTTACATTATTACCCTGATGGAAATGTACTTTCAAAGCTGCTACTAAACGCTAAGCGCGACCGTATAGGTCCGTACATACGCTTTTTCAGGTACCCATTTTGAACAGCTGGGTGGACTGAGTGCAATGTGGACGAAGTGCCTTGCCCAGGGACACAGCACAGTATGAGACCCAGGTCACAAATATTGTGTCTCCACCAGGATTCGAACCCGGGCCTTTGGTGTGAGAGGCCAGCAAGCTAACCACTACACCGCTACAGTCAATCTGTAATAACAATTAACTACAGTCACATGAAGGAATTGAGTGTCCTTTTACTTCTTTCGTGTAGAATATATCTCAGATAATTACCAAGAAAAATGGCACCATGATAACCACAGCGCCAATAAGGATTCTATTACCATATCGCCATATAAGTCCCAAGAGTATTTCACCAATTTTGATTCCTATTCCTACGTGGATGCCCTGACAATGTGACATGTTGCCCTCACACAGGTCACCGCTGGCTATATGGTGTGTTACAATGTATGTATGGCTAGCTAGAGGATGGAAACCAAGCTGCAACCGGTGTATTCTTCCCATCATGCACTTTGTCACGTGACAACTTACAAGCTTCCCGGAGTTTGTCTTTGTCGTAGTGCATGGCTTCATATGTTGCCATGCCGATTCGACTCACTTGGAGTCGTAACCGTTCGGGGACCGAAGGTGGACTGAAAAACGCAAAATCAGGACTATAGATGGGCTAAAACAGTCTGAGGGGAACCCTGAGGTGAGCTGGTGCTGAAATATAATGGTTAGTGAATCATATTATACATGAACTCATGAAATGCAATACTGTATTTGATGTTTTCAGCAACCCAATGAATGCCCCCCCAATATCATAAAAAATCAACAGGAGTTAAAAAAAGTTATTTAACTATAAATCCATAATCTTAATGTAAAATTAACTCTTAAAAGCAAGTTTTATTGATTCGGTTACCTTTGCAAACTCAAAATATTAATATAGAAACTTGATTTAATAAATTTAATGTTTCCAACTTCTGAGAATGTCAAAACTATATTAGCATCCTTTTAAAGATTGAATTAGTTTAGAGTCGGTTACACTGGTTTGTGACATGTAGGACCCTGGTGAAAACCAAGAGCATGATATAGGACGGTAGGCACAGAAATATGGTGAAAATAATAGATTCCTGGCACACCTAAGGGACATAACTCAATATATGCAGTAGTAGTGGCAGTATGTCTGTGTTTGGTCTAGTAAGGCAATTAGGCGTTTTACACTCATGGAAGGCAAATGAACCCAACTTCATTCCGGTTGCTTAAAATGTCAAATACAGTGAGCAGATTGGTAATTGAAGAAAAAACCCTGAAAAAGGCTCTTTGGCGGTAAACATAATCCGTCATTCAGAATTAAGCTATTTCAGTGGATAACCGGATTATGTTATTTAGAATCCATATTAATCTTGCAGTAAGATCCTATAATGATATCCTGATGTTAAAATGTATTGTAAATTGTAATAACAGTTTTGATTGGTTACTTCAGATGTTAAGTACATACTCATTGGTTATTGGCATTGATCCTCGTCTCTTGGGCTTCATGATCATATTGGCCTGATTGCGAAATCGTATTGAGACGACCGATGGGCGGAGTCGACAAGGTTCGCCATCTAGTTGCATAGGCATGGACTTGTAGGTGGTCAGCTTGACCTCCTGACACTGTATGAGACGCTCACCATGGCCACCCACATACAATGTCGCCTGGATCGAGAACACAGAGAACGCAATGAAGCTTGGATTCTACCTTCATTTGTACTAAATTACAGTTGTGGTGAAGTCTGGAAACATTAACACAATGGACTGTAAGAACAGACTTCACAAATTGTATCTTATTATTCCAACCATACTTAATATGAGACTACAAGAATGGAGTTCATATATTGTGCTGAGAAATATTCCATCAATATCTCAAAGAAAAACTACGAACAAGGATTTATTTCAAATATTGTGTTTTGAGAAATACTCTAGCTAAATCACAGCCAGGGACTGCAAGTGAGTGAGTTTAGTTTTACACTGCTTTTAGCATTATTCCAGGAATATTACGGCATAGGACACCACAAATGGGCTTCACCCATTGTGCCCATGAGGGGAATCGAATCTGGATCTTTGGTGTGACGGGCGAACGCTACCTCACCACCCCCAGGGACTGCAGGAATGGACTTCACTAACTGTTCACTTGAGAAGTATTTGAGTCATTTCACAGCAGAGGACTAAAGCAATGGATGACCACTAATTGTAACTTTGTTGAAAATACGAATTGAGAAAATAAAGTCTCAACCTTGATTATGCACAAATCAAGGTAGTAAACTTCAACTAATGTATCATTTCATGACTTTACTTTGTGAGCACACACAGTATTATTGCCATGGCAACGTCCTGATGTTACTGACCAGAGAGGAGTATGTGAAGCCCACCACCTCCAGGTAGCCATCGTCATGTCGTTGTGGCTCAAACCCCACTGTAGTGGGGTTGCCCCAGGGGAGAGTGCCACTAGCGTACCTGGAACAGGAAGAGGACACATTGTAGGACTACACCAGTAACATAAGTCATCCTTGCAGCAGACTTATAACATCACTGTAACTCACTGTATCTCTTAGCTGAAACACAATGTGTCTCGTAACCGTAACATAGAGAGTGTCACAAAATTGTAAGAGCCTTCACAAAATTATGACCGAGTGCATAACATAACCCCCCCAAGGCTACATGTGAACAGACAACATCACCCCTCCCAAAGGCTACATGTGTACAGACAGCATCACCCCTCCAAAGGCTACATGTGTACAGACAACATCACCCCCTCCCTTCACCCCCCTGACTCCATCTTCATGTCCTGAATCTCTCACACATCACCCCCTCCTCCACCCCTGACTCCATCTACGTGTGGAATGTTGAGGGACAGCTTCATGTCCTGAATCTCTCACAACATCACCCCCTCCCTCCACCCCCTGACTCCATCTATGTCCTGAATCTCTCACAACATCACCCCTCCCTCCACCCCCCTGACTCCATCTACGTACCGTGGAATGTTGAGGAAGAGGAGACAGTGCAGCTTCATGTCCTGAATCTTCTGAGTGAGGTCCACCCCGTCACACTCCACCTTGATGTGGCCAGAGAAACCCTTCCAGCTCCTCTTCAACATGTCTCTCCCCCCAGCCTGCACACATCAACATCTTACATCAATTACAGAATGCACACCTAGTGTTTGTATGAACATCAAACAAAGGATTGGTGAACTGGTCTTGAATTTGTTATATTTCACCCCAGTCAGCAATATTCCATCAATCTAGGCCTGGCTTTCCAGGGGCAGATGTTATGAGCATGTGGTATGACATGTCACCAGCCTGGTCACATCTTCTGCCCTTCTAGTTCGCCTTCTAAACAAGGTCTGCTACAGCTATTCTGACCAGCGTCCAATTCCATAAAGACAAAGCTCCAACTCTTCAACATACTGCAGTCACAGTAGTCTGTCTCACAGTCCCTGAACCACATTATTTTCCCTACTGCCAAGCCCTCTCTGCAGTGCTAAAGCACTAAATGAAGCAAGTCTAGATTTCCCCAGGTCTCCCTGGGGCTCCTTTTCAATTTAAATGGGTTTGTTTGTTACTATCAAAAAATATATATATTCAGAGACTAAGCGTTAGTCTACAGTCACAGTGTTTTGGACACTTTGTGAGGAAGTGAATGAGTTTACATTTACTCCAGCTTTTAGTATTATTCCAGCAATATTGGGGGGGGAAGGCCACCACACCTTGTGCCATGAAGGGAATCGAAGCAGGGAACGCTTTAACCACTTTGGTCCTTTGGTATGGTACTCAGGACCTGGCATTGTGGTCAGAGCTAAAATGGGTGACACATGATGGCCTCCATCATTCTGCTAGTTTACCTCTTACACTTTGACAACAGAACCCAACACATGAACTCCTATCATCAATATTTTGAAGAAGAGTTTACGTTTTGCATGGATGTAAGTTTTTACAGATATCACTTACCCCTGCATAGAATATTTTGTTTCGTAACCTGCTATTGAACTTCTCTGGGTTCGCCTCTGAAAGGAGAAAACAAGATGGATTAGTTGATGTGATTCATGTAACTGATTGGTTGATGTAATTCATGTTACTGATTGGTTGATGTGATTCATGTTACTGATTGGTTAATGTAATTCATGTTACTGATTGGTTGATGTGATTCATGTTACATGTTACTGATTGGTTGATGTGATTCATGTTACATGTTACTGATTGGTTGATGTGATTCATGTTACATGTTACTGATTGGTTGATGTGATTCATGTTACATGTGACTGATTGGTTGTCCTCACACTAACATTCTTCCATGCTGGGTTACGAAGAATGTGAAAGTGACGAAATTGGACATAGTGTAACGTAATACCACCAGATGATGAGTGAGTGAGTGAGTAAGGTTTTCGCCGCTTTTAGCAATATTCCAGCAATATCATGGCGGGGGAGACCAGAAATGGGCTTCACACATTGTACCCATGTTGGGAATCAAACCCGGGTCTTCGGCGTGACAAGCGAATGCTTTAACCGCTAGCCTACCCCACCGCCTATACGTGGTTTACGTGGTGCATGAGAACAATACAGTTCTTTAGAAACCACTTTTATATTCTTTGTTGTTCTGTGCTGAATAACCCCATCAGTAACTGCCAATGGACATCTTGATTGCCGTGTTGTTATTTATTGCCCTCGTCAGTTCGTTGTACCCCCCCACCAGATGATGACCTAAGTTTACTCAGTACAAGAGCTATGCTAAAGGCAGTCAACCACACTCATCCTCTCTATGACAGGGAATATATACATCTGGTTGTAACGTCTGTAAGTACTCAGGGTAAATAAGAGGTCAAAGGCACGATTTACAAGGGACAGTGCGATATCGTACCCCGAGATTCGTGGAACTCCAAGGACACGTGAGCGTCAGCACCAAGACTGAAGTAGTTGTTGAAGATTTCTAGGGGCAACGTCTCCGCTCCTCCCTCCTCGTCTGGCTCGGCAGATGTGTTAGGGGTCACACTGATGTTCCACCTGTAACAGGAGCAAGTGACACAGTGGGTTTGAGAGTACAAGCACTAAGACATGACTACTCTTGAACCTTGTGGATGCTATTTATTCATTAATACAGAAAAAATAATCAAATATTTACAATTTCACTTTCTAAATATACTACCCATCAAAAGTTTAGGCTCACTAGTGTAAATGTAGCCACTTACTTAGTCAACCGTTCTAAACTAGATTTTGCTAAATATTCCATACTGTTTAAAGGTACTGTTTACACATGAACTGATGTATTATAAAACAAATTCTTAACGTTGAAAAGATTATTGTCATGAGTTCAGTAAATGATGAAACTCTGTGTACATTGGCAAATTCTTAACAAATCTTTACACCAAAACGCAGCAGTTCACATGCATGATATTTGCACATGCATTTCAGAAATTTTATGCATGATCCTCGTGCAATTCATCTGCATAAAGTTTGCAGCTGGTTCCCCCAAGTTAGTGGAGAAATTCATCTTCGATGCAACCACATATATATACATAACATATAGTGAGTGCTTTAAGTCAGTCTAAACTTTTGATGGGTAGTATATGTATGAAAAAAATGAAAAACAAATACTGCTGATGTTACTGAGTGATATATCAAAGCAATATATGTCAATGTTTGTTACTGGATCCTGGCTGGAACCATGCTAGCTACAGATGACCAATAACACATCAGTATTGGAAACATACAATTGAAGCACCAATAAAATCTCAGAAATCTTCCCACTCTGAGAGTTGCAACCCCAAAAAAGATACCTTTACAGACGGGTAAATAACTACTATGTGCAGTCTGCATACAGGAGTGAGTGAGTGAGTTTAGTTTTACGCCGCACTCAGCAATATTCCAGCTATATGGCGGCGGTCTGTAAGTAATCGAGTCTGGACCAGACATTTCAGTGATAAACAGCATGAGCATTGATCTTCGCAATTGGGAACCGATGACATGTGTCAACCAAGTCAGCGAGCCTGACGACCCGATCCCATTAGTCGCCTCTTACGACAAGCATAGTCGCCTTTTGAGGCATGCATGGGTTGCTGAAGACCTATTCTACCCCGGATCTTCACGGATCTGCATACAGGAGCATATGTACCCGGTATATAATGTGCTGCCACTGATAACAGCCATATTGCCTGGCCAGGAGATAACGAGGACAACTTACCCGGTCCAGCTGAACCACCTGGCCATCTTCAACATTGCATAAGATTTTGGAAATGGGTTCATCCGTGTAGCCCTGTAACATAGTGGGTTAATAATTCAGCTCAACATTAGTGATTGTTGTTTTAAGATCATAAATGCAGAAATGAAAAGAATTCTATTTCTAAGTTTTAAGTGGGTCCCATGCAACATCTTAATTTTACCAAGCCAGGGAAGGTGGGTCATCCAATACCAAACTCATAGAGTAACTTGCCATCAGGTGAAGACACCATGTAGTGAGTGAGTGAGTGAGTGAATTTAGTTCTACGCTGCTTTTAGCAATATTCCAGCAATATCACGACCGGGGGCACCAGAAATGGGCTTCACACATTGTACCCATGTGGGGAATCGAACCCGGGTCTTCAGTGTGATGAGTGTATGCTTTAACCACTAGGCTACCCCATCGCCCCTATAACATGTAAAGTACTGGAGATGTCATGGTTTGTATGGGCACTTTCACTAGGACTTGGGTCATGTTCTACACTGTCACTGAGAGGTGTTTATTGGAGCTGCTTAAAACTAAGTTCATTCAGAAAACAGGGGGTTTTTTTTGTGGTTTTTTTCACTGATGAAGTGTAATCCCAAATATAACATATGTCCATTTAAACACTTTGAACACTATATATATGTAATAACAATAAATGGGATGGACTTTCACAATGAAATTGTTTAAAATAGGATGGGTACAAGTCACCATTTTTGTTATTTGCTTACATTTTGTGTGTTATGAATAAATTTCCTTCTAATGTATTCCAAAAACAGTTGGTGAATATCCATTTAGTTGGTATTCTTTTTGAAGAATGTTTAATTATACATTTATAAAATCGTCAAAGCATTCAAGCAATAATCACCATTACCATTAGATACTCCATTTAAAACTCATCATTTGAAATTAGGATACCTGATACCAAAAGGTCAAAAAGAAGTGAAATTTTCTGCCATATTGAGTCCTGGGCATGTGGATAAATAATATATGTGAGCCTATCAGAAGTGGAAAACATGAGATAAAGGTATTATAGTCAATATAGACCTCTGTTTAATATTGAAAGCATGATAAGTGTGATTATGACTGAAATGTATACTACTTTACTAAACACTAATGATCATAACAACAACCTACGTAGAGTTTTCATCAGACAAATTCTACCCTCATGATGAAATAGTGTAGCTTCATCACGTGCATATGATTCAGCTGACATTTTCCTGACAACTTATCATCTGAGTTCAACAACAAGGGGATTATCTCTGCAACAGTAATGAGTACATCTCACTCTTCGTCTTCTAATTACTGAATTCTGGATTAGTTTTGCTAATTTACTCGCGAATCTCAACCTGATTTATTCAGGACTCTACCACATTACATATGACAAAATGGCCGTTCCATTAATGAGGACGAAATACTGAGTCAGAGTTTGATGCAAGAACCATTAGGGATACTACTTTAAAGAAGTTGAGGATCAGACAATTCTGTCATTTTACTAAAACGTCATCACTAACTTAAATACATACTACACAGTACATTAGGCGTAGCTATCAAAACGATACAGTGAGTGACTGAGTGAGTGAGGTTTTATGCTGCTTTTGGCAATATTCCTGCAATATCACTGCAGGGGACACCAGAAATGGGATTCACACATTGTACCCATGTGGGGAATCGAACCCGGTCGTCAGCATGACAAGCGGACGCTTTAACCATTCGGCTACCCCTAGCCCCCAGAAAACAATAAACGGCAATTTTTCATCGAGATCTCATCATCAAAGTTCGGGTTAAAGTCATTTGAATGAAGCTTCTCAGGTCTGGAATACTGCAGAATGAAAATTGAAGCATACGATTATACTGTTTTTGACGTCTGCTCCAGAACTGGCGGGGTGAACATGGGTAACTGCTCAGGATGTGAAAACAGAGTGATCTCCCTTCTTAGCTTCATTTTGCCATGCACTACACTTGGTTGAACTCAGTTTTTATTTCCTGTACATACTCTGTCCGAGCTAATGATTTACATGATGTTACATTATGAAGAATGGATCCTACTAGCTAATGTATTTTCTTTCCCCTACAGCTGATGTTCAGTAGATATTCTTATATCAGGTACAGTGAGATGACCTTACAGCTGATGTTCAGTAGATATTCTTATATCAGGTACTGTGAGATGACCCTACAGCTGATGTTCAGTAGATATTCTTATATCAGGTACAGTAGATGACCATGACTTCGGCCATAGAGAAGGTATTCATGGCCGGACAGATTAACTAATGTAATCATCCTGATTACAATCCCCTTTCGTTAGTTGAATAAAACCCTGCTCTACAATAAAACACTACATGACCCTGATTACAGCTGTGTTATAGCTGGGAGGTGGGGTAGCCTAGTGGTTAAAGCGTTTGCTCGTCATGCCGAAGACCCGGGTTCGAATCCCACATGGGTACAATGTGTGAAGCCCATTTCTGGTGTCCCCCGCCGTGATGTTGCTGGAATATTGCTAAAAGCGGCATAAAACCAAACTCAGTCCGTCAGTGTGTTATAGCTATTGATTAAATATTGTCGTTTGGGCAAACTAACACTGACATAAGCAATAAACTGGTTCTTGTTTCACCACTGGTTGGAGGCCATTTAGTTAGTGTTTATTTTGGGTTAGTGCAGTACTTTATGATCAATACCACACACATACATATCAATGTCTTCACCTGAAATTAGCCAAATTACAATAAGAATCACTGACAATAACAGGAGAATAAGACCACCATTCAGAAGAGATCAATTATTTTTCTGGTTTAATTGATGGGCCTATTCTTGGGTCATAATAAAATGAAATATAATAACAAATTTACTTCTGTGCGAGTTGACTGAAAGTAATGCTATTTTAAACCTTAATGCCTATGTTCATATTCCATTTTAAGATATATATCCTATTTTTAACAATTAGTATAATAATCAACAGGTATATTAAACATATGAAATGCAGATGTAACAAACATTTGTTTCAGACCAACACTCACCACGGTGCAACTTAACCACTATGACCAAAATCAAAACTGAAATATACAACTTTATGGATGACAGCTTCTTGTTATTGCATTTAGCGACTATTTGATGTAGATTCTTACAACGTTATCAAGCTATCATTATCACTTTTAGCTTGATAATGATGTAAGAAACTCCACCGAAACGTCATTTAATGAAGTTGTCATCCGTAAAGTTGTATGTTTCATTTTTGACTCACCAACTTCTTGAATGCTGACCAAACAATGACCAAAATCATTATTTTGGTAGGTGCCTGACATAAATATCATGAGTGAGTGAGTATGGTTTTACGCTGCTTTTAGCAATATTCCAGCAATATCGAAATTACTGGGGGACACCAGAAATGGGCTTCACACATTGTACCCATGTGGGGAATCGAACCCAGGCCTTGGCATGACGAGTGACCGCTTTTACTCCAAGGCTCCCACCACCCCTTATATACATGTATCATGTAGTGAAATCAGTCAGTGCAACATTTTACAACACTTGCTTCAACAACATTTCCACATGTTGTACTCTTGAGAAGTGTAACACTTGCTGACTCTTGAGTGAGTGAGTGAGTATGGTTTTATGCCGCTTTTAGCAATATTCCAGCAACATCACGCAGGGGACACCAGAAATGGGCTTCACACATTGCACCCATGTGGGGAATCGAACCCGGGTCTTCGGCGTGACGAGTGAACGCTTTAACCACTAAGCTACCCCACCACCCCTTGGTGACTCTTGAAAAGTGTAACACTTGGTGACTCTTGAAAAGTGTAACACTTGGTGACTCTTGAAAAGTGTAACACTTGGTGACTCTTGAAAAGTGTAACACTTGGTGAAGGTAGTGACACTTACCCCTCCCCAGTTGAGTGTCCTGGCAAGGTCGTTGCCAGTCCCAATGGGAAGGATGGCGACAGGGGTTGGGGGCGAGATCCCCAGGGAGTCCAGCATAGACAGGATCCAGTCTACTGTACCATCTCCCCCACAAGCCAACAGTCGAAGGTTAGGCACTTTCTTGAACAATTCTAGACTGAAACACACAACAGAGGTAATCACACATTTCCTCAAAATAAAATGGTTAAGTCACAGTTAATATACACATTTTTACATGACTGAATGCCAAACTTAAAAGTTAAGAAATATTAATTTGCAAAAAGTGGTTGCAGGAATGCAGATATAACTGATATCATTTGATTGTAGTACAAGAGCAGTACATGAACGTAGTGCAAGAGCCCCCATTTTAGACGCAGCAATTGCTGTGCAAAGGTCCCCGTCGCTTAGTCAAATGAGTGAGTGAGTATTATGGTTTTACACCACTTTCAGCAATATCATAGTAAAGGGCACATGACACAGAGGAAAGAGCTGACATTTTCCATCCTCACACATGTGTAGTTGTTTGGAGGATAGGGTTTGCCTCACAACTATTAGATATGCTGACAGTGAAGAGGGCGCTTCTTGAAAATTCTAAATTCAAAGATTTAATATCATCATTACAACTCTCACAAGAAGTTATGGATGCTATTGAGTTATAATGCCATAGAGGCCAGGTATTCAAAGGAGGTATGGACACATTGCTCCCATGAAGGAAATAGAACCCAGGCCTTGAGCATGTAGGGTGAACACTTTAACCGCTAGGCTGCTGTACCACAATAAGCTAACACATTCTGATATAACTGAACAGGGGGGATCCACTGGACTTCATGATTTATGTGTAACTCCCCCCCTTCTCCAAAATCCTGGATCCACCCCTGCTGAAACACCATAAAAGCATTTTCGAACAAATCTCACTCACTCAATGTCTTTTTGCAAATGAATTTTGTGTCTATACCACTTTGAACAGCATTCCAGCAAGCTGTATGACTAATTCTCAAAGTCCACCTGCAAGTCCCAGATGTTAACACTAGAACATAGCTGCTGATCAAATTACGGCAACAACAGATCAAGGATCAAAGATGAGCCAAATCTGGGATTCAAACCCAGACCTAAGTGACACAACCACAATCGTGTTGTTTCCAGAACCTGGTGTCTCCATGCCATGTGCATAAGAAGAAAAATGGAACCAGACGTGAATTGAACCATGGCAAAGAATGTTCCCAGGGAGCTATTGTATATATATATATATGTTGATGATCTGAAATATATGTTTCTCACCCAAACTGTGGTCCTCCCTGGGAGAGGTCAAACACTTGCCGCGGGTTCAGGAGCCAGCTGAACTTGTGGAAAAGTTTTGCCCCTTGATTGCCACCACTCTTGGGGTTTATAAAAACCAGGAGCGGCTTTAAGAGCGGTGATGGAATCGGTTTGATCAAAAATGGTTTTTGTTCATCTTTACTTAGCCTTTTCTTTAAGGATGCTTTCCTTTTCTTACTAGCCCGAAGTGAAGATTTGAAGGAACCCTGTCGCAGACAGAAAGTATTCATTTCAAACAGTGCTCAGTATTTATAACTTACTTTTTTTTCTTGCTTCAAAGCTCAACAGTTTTTTTCTTCTTTCAAAGCTCAATCACATTACCTTGGAACATCTGTTGAGTATGGGAGGAGGGAACAAGAATGATCAATATTCTGTACACTAATGCAGATGAAAAGCTGTTATAACCCATGACGCAATGTCTCACTACGCCAGCACTAAAGACCTTTGAGTTTTTATACAGACCTTTAAAGATGGTTCTCAAAGGAAAGAAAGTTCCGAAACATTTGTCCTGTTTCAGACATTTTATGTAAATCCATTCCTGATAAGCCAGCTTCATCGGGGTTTTTCTCATTCACTTAGACATAAAATGTATCCAGTATTACAAACATGGGCTATATTCATGGAATGATCATTAAGTACTTCTCACCAAAACATTTCATTTCATCCACAACTGTTTTGTCCGATCACATAAAATACCATATAAACAACTGAAACTGAAAAGTTCTGAGTGTATCGACTAACTCACTTTCTTGGGAAGTTTTATAATCCAAGATGGCGGTATGATGATGCCAGCATGAATACCCAGAGTGCATTGTTCTTCTATCTGCTGCATCATGAAGCACGTGGTCTTGTTGTGGTAGGCGGCTTTACACCACGAACAACTGATTGCTATGATATCCTGGAACAGACCATCACCTCAATATAACTCACAGCAGTACCCAGCCATTACCAGCAGTTTCAAGATCATCATGAACACTTTCCACAAAGCTAAACGTGAGACCTACATGTGCTCTCAAACAGATGTATGGGCAGCGTGGAGAGTTCTATGGATATACAATTTCTTTATAATTAATATGAGCCACGTTTTGGTGTAGCTACTAACACCGTTATCAAGCAAGGGATGTACAAACGTGGCTTACATTAATAATAAAGAAGTTGTATATCCATTAGTGGTGGTCCGATTAATTGAAATAATCGAAGATTGGTCGCAGTGACTAAACGACCACGCAATCGATCATAATTTCTCATAATCGAACACAAACAATTCTGGAACACTTGTTTTCATTAACAATATTTTTCACATGCTTGGTTTTGTCTGTTACATTTCGTAAGCACTACAAGCTCGTTTCAAGTCATGATTGAATTTATCTCAAAGATTCCAAGAAAGTTATGTTCCTAACATACTAGTCATCCTTTGAAGATGTGAAATTTTGCCTAAAAACCCCAGAAGAACTACCGGTACATTTTTTCCCCCTTATTTTAAGGTGCATTTACAAATTTCATAAATGACGCTAACCAATTATTTCGATGATTGATCGGTAGTAATGAACCAATCATCAATTATGAGATTTTAACCAATTCCCAACACTAATATCCATAGAGCTCTCCCCGTTGTCTATCACATCAACTTCTAAATGTCACTCAAAGAAATACGAAAGGATGTATGTTTGAGACTTTTCTTGTATTCAAGATTATATGACCATATTACATCAAAGTTAATAAGTGAAATATATTTACGGTGGAATATACAAACTGAATATGAAGCAAAAGTACATTGTTTTTCTTTTTGCTTTAAATGTACAGTTTGTAAGAATGGGTAGTTTTAAGTACAAAATAATCTCTTCCATATTAATCTTGAGACATTTAGACTTTGTCTTCAGCGACAGTCCAATTGGTACCTCCAAAAAATCAAAATATTTAGAAACCCTTGTTTCAACATAACTTAATTACTGACACGATTATGAAGCAATATTTTCTGACATGAAGTTGTTAAAGACCTAACTGTAAAGGAAAATGCTTGGTTTGAACTTAAGCCTTAAGATGGGTCAACACACGAATCGACCTTCCATAGCATGACTGTCGGACTACAGATTAAATCATGATTAAAAAATAGGGCAGATTCTGACATTTATTGGTTTACAAATAGTTTTTTTAAGAAGATCTTGGTTGCGATAGTTTGCGATAATCTTTTCAATTCCTCAGAATGTTATCTGATATATGCCATGTGCGCGAAATTGAGTCCATATAGTGTTTTAACCTGATGTGTCTGTTTTTTAGTCATGTAGCATAATCTGTTTTACGCAAATGAAAAAATTGTAACCATGGACAAATTTATCTAAATAAACAACACTTTTCAGATATAATTTTTAAAACTTATCAGATAAGGTTGGTGGAATCGGTAAACTATTTTCAAAACAACTCATACCCTGTTTGAAAAGATCAAGTCACACAACCAGTAAAATATAGATATAAGAAAATGTGGATACTCTAAAACCATGGGTTGTACAATGTGTTAAAGAGACCACATCATTTTTGTTTCAGTTCTGTGATGGAGACTTGTTGACATAATTCTGTAGGTGGAGATCAATGTCTCCTCGCTCACCTTGTTCTGAAAGGCGAACCTTTGCTGGAAGGACTGAAACAAAGACGTAAATATGTCACTGTCATTTTATTGATTTTTCTAAAGAATTTCTGAGAATGTTTCACCACAAGCATTGACACATAAACCAATAACACGTACAAGAATCCTAAGTATTTGAAACGGGAACTGTATCAAATCACAAAATGCAAAAGAAATGATTTGTGGGAAGCGAAGGATTCAGGTAAATATGGGTCAGAACATGAACAGTATTGTACTGCACAGAAGACTAAAGTAAGAGTATTTCTTGTTTAATGATGCATTTTGGTTGATAAAAGATTTCTTTGAGCATGGCCCCATACTGTTTTCAACAAGAAGATCTTAGCGCTAAGTGAGTTTAATACTTTTACTTACGATCGCCAGCAAACAAATCTGTACTTTACTAAGAAAGTGTAATCCCAAATATAACATATGTTACATTGGACCACTTTCTAAATGGCATTGTGTAATCATAGTTTTCGGATGTGGGAGTCATGACAATTAACACTTTTCAGAAGGGCACACAAAGTCCGCAGTCTAGACTACCAGTTGTCCGACTTCCATTTTTGTGGAAGCCGCGGTGGCTGAGCGGTCTAGGCGTCTGACTTTGTGTGCTGGTGATTAGGTGCCTGACTCTGAGGGTGTGGGTTCGAATCCCGGATGGGACTCAACTCAAAAAGCACTAGAATCTGTACTTTACTAAGAAAGTGTAATCCCAAATATAGCACATGTTACATTAGTTGTTTTGCTAAGGACCCAAGACACGGGGTACCAGCGTAGTTCCAGTAAGTGATCTTAGTGCTAAGACTACAGAGGCAGACATGAACTTATGGGAGCAAAAATCACCTTAATACTAAGATCGCTCTGTGGAAAAAGGCCCTGTCCCTTCAGTGGTTAACAATATTTACATAGAATTACGCAGTCTGGATACGATGAAGCAGGTCCAATATTTGAACCACCAAATTCTCCTCAGCAAGCTTTACAATATGCTAGTAGGCATTTTATTCTGCATCAGAATATCAGCTGGATTTAGCAGAAGATCCCCTGTCAAGCAAGAGAAACACGTCTAGCCAAGGTTGTCAGAATGTCAAGTACTATAATATATGAGGAGAGACCATTATCCTCGGATGTCCTTAATGATTAAGAAGCAATTACAGGATTGATTATCATGAACAAAAGAGGTGGTCTGTGTGTCTCTCTATGTTTTTGGTGTGCATGTGCATGTGTGTGAGCAAGCGGAGTACAAAGGGGGGGGGAGGAAGGGGGAGTGTGGAAAGAGATGGAGAGGAACGGACAGGGTTTACTAGAGGATCATAGAACATAATGAAGGTTTGGAACAGGGTCATGGAAAGTCCTTCAAGTTTGTTGGTGGGCATGCCAGATACGTTTTCTTTAAACAATTTTCCAGAAGGAATTTCTTCTGAAATATCAAAGCTTTTAACCTGATTTAGATAACAGCAAAAATATTTAAATTCAAAAGGTATCAATTCTTTCAAGATACAAAATTTTCATTCCAGAAGCCTCTGCAAGAAAAGGAAGACTTGTAGAGAAGTTCATAAATACATAAATATTTGTAAATGAATATGCAGACTTTTTAATTGATAACAACTTCTTTATTCTTCCTGAGGACATATCTGGGCTACTTCTTGTCTCTTTACAGATGAATACTGACTTAGCGTATTGATTTCATATTTATATAGATATATACACGCACGTCAGTATGTTTACAGAAGTAGGCTAATGTACAAAGATAACAATATAAGAAAGACGTCTACGGGAATATCAAGAGAGAAGCCAGTTAAGTACGTGAAAGTATATTGATGTGTCTGGTTGTGTTAACAACGAACTGACGACGGCAATAAATAACAACACGGCAATGAAGATGTCCATTGGCAGTTAATGATGAGGTTATTCAGCACAGAACAACAAAGAATATAGAAGTGGTTTCTAAGGAACTGTCTTGTTCTCAAGCACATATTGTACATGTATATAAAAGTGGTGGGGTAGCCTAGTGGTTAAAGTGTCCGCTCGTCATGCCGAAGACCCGGGTTCAATTCCCCACATGGGTACAATGTGTGAAGCCCATTTCTGGTGTCCCCCCACCGCGATATTGCTGGAATATTGCTTAAAGCGGCGTAAAACCATACTCACTCGCTAAATGTATATAAAAATTGTAGGTACATTAGTAAGGAAACCACACATAAGCTTTCATATTGTACGACAGGAACTCACATATAACAGGTACTGTGGTTCTTACGATGCACATGCATAACCCTTGAATCTAACTGTATTCTTTCATTATATTTGCAATCACTGGAATCAAATATTCACAATTTTTGGAAAATGGTACGTTTTTTTAAATGAATCTGTTATTTTTCAAAGCAGGATAATAGTCTACTCTCTTACATATTTAATTTGACAGTAATGTCGTCTCTGGTCATTATTGTGACAAATTAACACTGTCAACATGGTCAAAACATATAGATTATAGATTATTTCACTGAATGTGGTAAATATTACCAATTGGTGACAGATTATAATATTCTCGACAAATATCTGTATTCATGGTAGGTATCGTATTCACCCCACAGAGGATTCGTTACAGCACTAAAGTAGACTGTTCTGATCCCGGTGAAGGTCAGGGTTAGAATTGATCTTCAGAAACCCATGCTTGCCGTAAAAGGCGACTAACAGGATCGGGTGTCAGGCTTGCTGACTTGGTTGACACATGTCATTGTATCCCAATTGTGTAGATTGATGCTCATATATGTGATCCCTGGATTGTCTGGTCCAGACCTGATTTTTTACACACTGCTGCCATATAGCAGGAATATTGCTGAGTGCGGCATAAGCCACAAAACATAAGACTGTTCTGGAAAGATAGCTCACCTTGCCACATTGTTTACACTTGCCCTCCTGCCGACGCCGATGTACCCAATGGTGCCGCATGAATGTTTGCTGAAGTTCAAAAAGTATGAGATAAGAGTCATTCATTACTGACATGCTCAGCCGATCTACATATTTCAAGGTACATGTACTTCAAATAAGCTTGGACAGGCTGAAATAGAAAAGAAGAAATTTTGTTGATGCATGTATTTTTTCAAATGCTATTTTTGTCGATACACAAAATATTAGGAAAGAATTTCAGTTAAAAGCGAGTCATGTTTGAAGAGTCATTAATGACTAAACTTGGGCTGCAGGCGACAGTAGCTTGAATAATAAACAAACGTCTGTACCGGAAACACTGATGTCTGCATCCAGACTCGAGATAAATAACATTGAGAGACGTGTTCAGTGCCAAACGTCGGTATCCTAATGGAAGTCGTCTTCTTGTAGTACTTCTGGGATTAGAACACACGCTGCTTCAAACTGACAGACTTTGTTTGACAAGTCAGATCAAATATTTGACAACCCCAATCTGAAGACTTCACATATGTTAACTCGTAAAGATGTGTACTTAAAAACTTATTTACTTCGAATAGTCGAAGCTGCTGACTAGAAATCTTCAAATTCAGCTCAGTTGGTTTTGTGTCTGACCAAAATTAAATACACGAAGCTTCCTTGTCCTAATTAGAGTAAGTTGAGTTCAATTCCGTTGAGAATAGATTATGACATCCAGTTGTTGTCCGGAATGGTGTAGGTAGTAAATGAAATGCTTGAGCCAACTGCAGACTCCATAGGAGTGAAACAGGCAATCGTTACTTCAGACATATAACAAGATGGGTGCATTTGACAATCTCTTTGGGTTGCCGTGTTAGGACTTACATTTCTTGAGGAAATCAAGTTGATATTAATGTTGGAATCTGTGCAGTTGATCCATACCAGCCTTTTTATACACAGCTGCTGATCTCCCTTAATCTGCTACATGCTGGTGTTGAACCAATTTGGACCCTCGAAGGTTCGGGTTAGGATATTGATCTTCAGTAACCCATGCTTGTCGTAAGAGGTGACTAGCGGGATCGGGTGGTCAGGCTCGCTGACTTGGTTGTCATTGGTTCCACATTGCGCAGATCGATCCCATGCTGTTGATCACTGGATTGTCTGCTCCAGACTCGATTATTTACAGACCGCCGCCATATAGCTAGAATATTGCTGAGTGCGGTAAAAAACTAAACTCACTCAAACCAATTTGACAGGAAAGTAGCATAATGACAACCCCAAATAAAACTTGCTATAACTATTTACCAAGTAGGATCAAGGTATTATTTGAATTTAGTATGGTATGCATAAATTCTCAGCTTTCTATATATATAAACTTTAAGTAGTTTGGGCTCCTCAAATAGAAAGTTCTTCAAGTTAAAAAGTATCGATCAATTTTCTCGGCACACAAGCACCCTCAACAGAGATTGTTGAATTCAGGCACTTCACATGAAGTGGTAGGGGCAGTCTGTTAGTTTCTTCAAGAAGATATTATTTTTTATACATCTGATCAATCTTTGGTTCTTTGGTTGAATAAAACATTTTCGAAAAAACTTAGCATCTTTAGGTTTAATTACTTGTAAACAAAAACAATCTGAATCATTATGTAACCGATTTATTTATTGAGTCATTAACAGTCGTAAATGACATGTGAGGGCATGGCCTAACTGGTGTTTTTTGTTGTTGTTGAATAACATAACTATATATGCACTCATGCAGAATCTGAACCTATATCCATCCTAAACAAACAATTAAATGGCAAATTAATGCAGGCCATGAAAAATAATCACAATATTTGTAACTGTATCCATCATTGCTGTAACCTGAATTACGTACAGCATTGTACACATCCAGCAACATGTGGAACAGTTGGTAAACAACCAGAATATCTTGAATTAATCAAACTTACTTTAAAAAGAAAAAATCATTACACGATTAACTTTTTTAGTACCTTCCCTGTATACTGCTAACTGACATTGGTATCAACTGCAGTTGTCTTTCCTCGTGTGTTTTACATTTTCTGCATTTCCGCTGATGCGTAAAATGATGTTTTTTTATAAATGCAAAGTTGTGGTGGATTACATGGTTGATGAATTTCACATATTTTTTGACAACCGGGAGAGTTATAAGAAATCAATATGTCATAACAATGACATTATTTTGTTCTTTGACTATTGTTACAAGAAGGACAATTCTGATAATTGACTGACTGAGTTTGGTTTTACGCCGCTTTAAGCAATATTCCAGCAATATCACGGCGGGGGACACCAGAAATGGGCTTCACTCATTGTACCCATGTGGGGATTCGAACCCGGGTCTTCGGCATGACGAGCAAACACTTTAACCACTAGGCTAGCCCACCGTCCCCTCTGATAATTGAAGATGTTGATGCATGAAAACTTTATTCTCTTAGATAAGACAAAAATGGATGAAACTATATCTAGTGTAAGCACACATTATAATTGGATTTCTTGGAATGATGGGATCAAGAATTACTCCTTGACTATTTGAATTCATTTCATCCTTTAAAATCAGTATTTAATTTCTGACACTTAAAGAGGTAAACAGCTCATCTTTTGTTCTACAAGTAGGAGCAAAATGGAAATATTTTTGTGGCCTCAGAAAGTAAAACTTTCAAAGTTGTAATTCACCATTGTTTTCCACATTGTTTGACATTTGTCAATCAAAATGCATACTTTACATAAAATATTACAGCTGAAATTACACAATGCAGGGCTCAATTTCACTTGCAATCCTGGAACCTGAAACTGCAACGTTCTACTTATACCCATGCACCCACTGTATCCAGTATCAAGAGCCCTGTACCTAGTGTCCAGTACCCAATACCCTGTACCTAGTGTCCAGTACCCAATACCCTGTCCCTAGTGTCCAGTACCCAATACCAAATACCCTGTACCTAGTGTCCAGTACCCAATACCCTGTCCCTAGTGTCCAGTACCCAATACCAAATACCCTGTACCTAGTGTCCAGTACCCAATACCTAGTGTCCAGTTCCCAATACCCTGTACCTAATGTCCAGTACTCAATATCTGTACCTAGTGTCCAGTACCAAATACCTGCACCTAGTATCCTGTAGCCAATACCCTGTACCTTGTGTCCAGTAGCCAATACCCAGTACCTAGTGTCCAGTACCTTGTGTCCAGTAGCCAATACCCTGTACCTAATGTCCAGTACCCAGTAGCCCTGTACCCTGTGTCCAGTAGTGTCCCTCTGTACCTAGTGTCCAGTAGCCAATACCCTGTACCTAGTGTCCAGTACCAATACCCTGTACCCAGTAGCCAGTACCTAATAATCCTGTACCTAGTGTCCAGTAGCCAATACCCTGTACCTTGTGTCCAGTAGCCAATACCCTGTACCTAGTGTCCCTAGTGTACCCAATATCCTGTACCTTGTGTCCAGTAGCCAATACCCTGTACCTTGTGTCCAGTAGCCAATACCCTGTACCTTGTGTCCACCTTGTGTCCAGTAGCCAATACCCAGTACCTAGTGTCCAGTAGCCAATACCCTGTACCTTGTGTCCAGTACCCAATACCCTGTACCTTGTGTCCAGTAGCCAATACCCTGTACCTTGTGTCCAGTACCTTGTGTCCTGTACCTAGTGTCCTGTGTGTCCAGTACCTTGTGTCCAGTAGCCAATACCCTGTACCTAGTGTCCTGTACCCAATACCTGTACCTTGTGTGTCCAGTAGCCAATACCTTGCTGTACCTAGTGTCCAGTACCCACACTCCGTACAATGTGTCCAGTAGCCTAGTGTCCAGTAGCCAATACCCTGTACTCGGCCGGAGGACACCATACCTGAGTGTCAGTACCTAGTACCCATGTAGCCAATCGACCCGTGCCTTGGCGCTGACCAGTAGCCACTTTAACCACTAGGCTACCCACCCGACCCCTCTGATGGTGAAGATGTTGATCATTGAAAGCTTTATTCTCTTAGATAGACAAAATGGATGAAACTATATCTGGTGTAAGCGCACATTATAGTGGATTTCTTGGAATGATGGGATCAAGAATTACTCCTTGACTATTTGAATTCATTTCATCCTTCAAAATCAGTGTTTAATTTCTGACACTTAAAGGTAAACAGCTCATCTTTTGTTCTACACAATTAGGAATGAAATGGAAATATTTTGTGGCCTCAAGAAGTAAAACTGTCCAAAGTTGCCAATTCACCATTGTGTTCCACATTGTTTGACATTTGTCAATCAAAATGCATACTTTACATAAATATTACAGTTGAAATTAGCACAATGCACGGGCTCGAATTTCACTTGCACCTGAGTGTCCAATGTTCTACTTATACCATGCACCTGTACTGTGTCCAGTATCAAAATACCTTAGTGTCCGAGTACCTTGTGTCCAGTAGCCGGTACCTAGTGTCCAGTACCTTGTGTCCAGTACCCAATACCCTGTACCTAGTGTCCAGTACCAAATGTGTCCTAGTGTCCAATACCTTGTGTCCTAGTGTCCTAGTGTCCAGTACCTAATGTCCTGTACTCGAGTACCCTGTGTGTCCAGTACCCAATACCTGTACCTAGTGTCCAGTACCCAATACCCTGTACCTTGTGTCCAGTACCAATACCTCTGTCCTAGTGTCCAATACCAATACCTGTACCTAGTGTCCAGTACCCAATACCCTGTACCTTGTGTCCAGTACCCAATACCTAGTGTCCAGTAATACGTGTCCTTGTAGTGTCCAGTACCCAATGTCCTGTACCTACCCTGTCCAGTAGCCAATACCCTGTACCTAGTGTCCAGTAGCCAATACCCTGTACCTTGTGTCCAGTAGCCAATACCCTGTACCTTGTGTCCAGTACCCAATACCCTGTACCTTGTGTCCAGTACCCAATACCCTGTACCTAGTGTCCAGTACCCAATACCCTGTACCTTGTGTCCAGTACCCAATACCTAGTGTCCAGTAGTACCCAATGGTGTACCTAGTGTCCAGTAGCCAATACCCTGTACCTTGTGTCCAGTAGCCAATACCCTGTACCTAGTGTCCTGTACCCAGTACCTAGTGTCCAGTAGCCAATACCCTGTACCTAGTGTCCAGTACCCAATACCCTGTACCTAGTGTCCAGTACCCAATACCCTGTACCTTGTGTCCAGTACCCAATACCCTGTACCTAGTGTCCAGTAGCCAATACCCTGTACCTAGTGTCATGTACCCAATATCATGTACCTTGTGTCCAGTAGCCAATACCCTGTACCTTGTGTCCAGTAGCCAATACCCTGTACCTAGTGTCATGTACCCAATATCCTGTACCTAGTGTCCAGTACCCAATACCCTGTACCTAGTGTTCAGTACCCAATGCCCTGTACCTTGTGTCCAGTAGTCAATACCCTGTACCTAGTGTCATGTACCCGATAACATGTACCTGGTGTCCAGTACCCAATGTCCAGTACCAATACCCAGTGCTCTGTACCTAGTGTCAAGTACCCAATACCCTGTACCTAGTGTCCCCTACCCAATACCCTGTACCTAGTGTCCAGTACCCAATACCCTGTACCTAGTGTCCTCTACCCAATACCCTGTACCTAGTGTCCCAGTACCCAAGATGACATCCCTGTACCTAGTGTCCTCTACCCAATACCCTGTACCTAGTGTCCAGTAGCAATACCCTGTACCTAGTGTCCAGTACCCAATACCCTGTACCTAGTGTCCTCTACCCAATACCCTGTACCTAGTGTCCTCTACCCAATACCCTGTACCTAGTGTCCTCTACCCAATACCCTGTACCTAGTGTCCTCTACCCAATACCCTGTACCTAGTGTCCCCTACCCAATACCCTGTACCTAGTGTCCTCTACCCAATAACCTGTACCTAGTGTCCTCTACCCAATAACCTGTACCTAGTGTCCTCTACCCAATACCCTGTACCTAGTGTCCTCTACCCAATACCCTGTACCTAGTGTCCTCTACCCAATACCCTGTACCTAGTGTCCCCTACCCAATACCCTGTACCGAGTGTCCAGTACCCAATACCCTCTCCTAGTGTCCAGTACCCAATACCTAGTGTCCAGTACCCAACACCCTCTCCCTAGTGTCCAGTACCCAATACCCTGTACCTAGTGTCCAGTTCCCAATACCCTGTACCCAGTGTCCAGTTCCCAATACCATGTACCTTGTGTCCTGTACCCAATACCTAGTGTCCAGTACCCAATACCCAGTACCTAGTGTCCTCTACCCAATACCCTCTCCTAGTGTCCAGTATCAAGTGCCCTCTACTCTATGTCATAGTGTCTTACCTCTCTGTAATTGCGGACACCTGCTTCTCGGAATGTTGGCTTGCATCTCAGGTTTTTCTGGAAACATCAAGAAATTGAACATATAGAAGCCATGCCACTGCTTGACGTCAGACAAACAAAAAAAGCTTAAACACTTACCATAATCAGTCAGATCTCACGAGGATTTTTTTCCAAACAAAACCTTTTTTAGCAACAGAATTAGCTTGACTAGCTACTGAAATATCCTCAACCCAATCAATATAAAAAGGTTTAAGTTTTTATTATACTTTATCATGGCCTTCAATACCAAACTGTCAAATGTTTCTCACCAAACAATTTATTTCAATCACATGCTGTGAAAAGTTATAAAATCCTGATGTAACAAAAAATAGCTACATTCACTCACTCACTCAACATATATTACAGAATATTTGACATGGAATTCATCTTAAAAGCTCATATTTCTGACAATAACTTGTGCAACAAAACTCCAATTTATCTGTGACATTTAAGCGTCCATAAAACCGTAGCCTAATATTCAGACTACAGAACCATTTCCACAAAACACAAGTTGTGTATTGACCTTCAAGCACTCAAGGCACTTTATCAACCATATGTTTTTCCTCAAGGCCAACCCGTCACATAATAAGCCAACACATATGACAAGCAAATCGTAAACATCAATCACAAAAACACAGACCTCTAATTCCAACCCAAGTTACATCAAACAAACATATCACTGATAATATCATCCATAAAAAGATGCATAAATCAAGCACATATTGGAATGCTACACCCATTTTTCAAGTATGATATACCAGAAAATCATTTAACCTTTGACATCCTGGATAGCAAGGAAAACAATGGCTGTCAAATTAAACCTCCAGCCATCAGACTTCTGCAGGAGTCTGACAGCGAGGCTTAATGGATTCTCAGAACATGTAGAGCGATTGGGAATGCCAGGAAGATACTTCACTGTCCCCTGTGAGTGACTTTACAGAACACAGTGAGCAGTTGGAAGCGACGTGAAGCTTAGGTAAAACATCCGCCACAAGACTGTCATAAATGATGAAACGTAGACAAGATGCGTATCCCTATATAATAATCTGTGGATGTATCTATATAGTATGTGTGTATATCCAATGTGAGTCTTTTAGACTGACTGACTGAGTTTGGTTTTACGCCGCTCTTAGTAATATTCCAGCAACATCACGGTGGGGGACACCAGAAATGGGCTTCACACATGTGGGGATTCGAACCCGGGTCTTCGGCGTGACGAGCCAACGCTTTAACCATTAGGCTACCCCACCGCCCTGAGTCTTTTAGATATATTTGAGCACTTTTGTGCGGTCAACTTATGTGAAATTGTATTTTATATGTTGTTTCACTGGACAGAGAAACTTGTTATTTATGGACACTCATGCTTCTCCTTTGCGGTGGAATAGTCTTCGAATTGAACTCTGTACTCTCAAACCTATTTCACCTTTAGAACAGCTCTCAAGAACTGTCTCTTCAATCAAGCTTTCGACTGAACTTTTCTTTTTCTCACTGGCAGTACTTTGAGCATGGAAAGTACAAAACAAATTGACCAATATTTTGCTTTACAGCTTAAAAACTAAAATGCGGCAGATGGGGGTCGGGTGATCCTGGCAGTCATGCTGGTAAGGCTCATTATCAGTTCAGATGCCCTTGCCCCCCTACACGAAACCCAGACAGCGAATGGGACTTCCCTAGGAAGAGCTGCCTAGTCGAAAACTTTCTGGAGCATATGGAGACTCCCCAACACTGCAGCCTTCTGCATTACCCAGAGTGTCGGAAGGGCTGAAGAGATCCTGGTCACTCTCCTGATCTGTTCAGGGTCGTACCATGGATGGACCTCAGAGTCAAAGCCACAGACATGGAGAAGACAGTAGCAGAATAAATGAGTTATGTCATCATGTCGTTGATTACATGCATGGAAAAAGTAACATAAACTGCAACTCCATGAACTGTGACTAACAAAATATTCATTGTCTTCTTATGTTGATATGGAATGGCTCCGAATGCACTGGTCCTTTATTATAGGAGGAGTGTATGTGTGTTGCTAGGGGGGATTGGTCTTCAGACTATTATATTGCACCGACTACCCTTCCCATGATAGTTTTTTCATGATAAACAACTACCTAGTTGACCAGTCCCTGAATAAAGTTCATTAATAGTAATTTCATTTTAAAAAATAGAACTGTGTGATTTTTTCATGTTCTCACTCCATATAATTGTGACAAATTTAATAAAATCGCCTAGGCCATGTTCCAAAAGAGATTTGTGACCTAATAGAGTATTGCACTGATTTGTTTTGCAGATTTAAGGCTGCATATCAAACCCTGAGCAAGTCCAGATTAATCCCAGGAAACATGAAATAATTATGGAAATGTGAAATTGATAGCAACACTGACATACTTAGTTCTTTCAAGCAAGACTTCCTCTGAAATTTAAGGATATCCTCTCGTGAAAAAAATGGATAATCCCAAAATATGAGTGGGGATTACACAAAATATAACATAATAGGCTTGGTTCTGTAATAAATCTAGTTCCAGATTAAATTTGTACTGATGATATTAAAACAGTGTCCTGTATTGCGTGCCCTGACTACTAAATCATCACGCGGGAATTCCATTAAGACTAAACCATCACTGCCATGGTGATCACACAAAAAACATAATATGCATAAAATATTGAAATTTTCAATTCTGTAACTACTTGATTCCCTTTGTTTTCAAATTTCTATTGTGCCTGTGCTATTTTTGAAATATATGTTCATAAAACCAAAATAAAATCAATGACATTTATTATTCATGCTTTGCTTCATCCTTAAGTATAGATACATAAATTAATAATGAATGAAAATTGCTTTACAACATATCAGCAGTTTTACAGCTATTTGCAACAAGAACCAGTTGATTAAAATTCTAGCATGTCCATTGAAAACATTGATCAAGAAAAACCTGTAAAACAGGAAATATAACTCTGTAAGTCTGGACTAAACAAAGATAAGCCAACAGACATGTTTTGTATTTGATTGGAAGAATGTCGCTGTTATGAAGCTGAAGCCATCCAGGTCTCTGAGAGCCGAGACAGAAGCCTCCATAACACTATACTATTCATGTACAGCACACTTTCAGTACCCTAATATTTATCCTACAGCGACGGAAGTCTAACATTAATAATCTGCTTCTTAGTCAACATCCATTTGATAATTAATAAATACCAATCTGCAAATGACTAAGACCGTTTTCATCATCCATGTGATTAGTTCAGAAGCGACAACACATTTCTGTCACAAATAAACATCAACCTTTATTGGAATATCTAATCCAATAATGCCATACCTTATTCCACACACGAGACACACCCCAGCTAATTTGGTACAACAAACTTATTTTTGTCAATCTCCAATAATTGTAACCTGGATTAATTTGTTTGATGTTTTGTAACCTCCAGTTTAGTTGTAAACACCACCTATATGTCAGTGAGGGCATGCTTGACCAATACCACAGCCTCTGTGAACGTGTTTACATGGAAACCAAGGCCTCGTCTCTACATTCCAACATAACCCTACTTTAGTACTTAGGTTCAACAGAACTGTTACATGAATGCTAATGCAAGGTCTTGGGTGATTGAGAGCTCAGTGACAAAGACTGATGTCTCACAGATAGATGTTATGGCACACCTCTAAAGCTTATGTGGTCCCATAATATATGATCACAAACATTTTGGGGGATATTTTATTGTTGTGATGACTGAGTGACAAATTCATACAAATATCTGACAAATTATTCATGATCCGAAACTGTTTTGTCAATAGCAACCTCTTGGACAAGTTGGGGTGTTTCACTGGAAATGTTGTTTTTCAATTTCATTGGTCCAGTCGTTTCTGTGAAGAATGTTATTCAGATTCTTACCATCAGTGTTGGTGGCGTCATACCCATTATCATCCTTCTTATCATCATCACTGTTACTATCATCATCATTATCATCATCATCACTGTGACTATCATCATCATTATCATCATCATCACTGTTACTATCATCATCATCCTCCTTCTTATCATCGTCACTGTTACTATCATCATCATCACTGTTACTATCATCATCATCACTGTCAGTATCATCACCTGCATCACCATCATCATCACTGTTACTATCATCATCATCATCATCACACTGTCATCATCTGCATCACCATCATCACTGTCATCATCTGCATCACCATCTGCATCACCATCATCATCACTGTCAGTGTCATCATCACTGTCATCATCTGCATCACCATCACCAATCAGTCATCATCATCATCATCATCACTATGATCATCTGTATCACCATCATCACCATCACTGTCAGTGTCATCATCTGTATCACCATCACTGTCATCATCATCATCACTGTCATCATCACTATCATCATCTGCATCACCATCACCATCATCATCATCATCATCACCATCACTGTCATCACCATCATCATCTGCATCACCATCACTGTCATCATTGTCATCATCACTATCAATATCACTATCATCATCTGCATCACCATCATCACTGTCATTGTCATAATAACTATCAACATCACTATCATCATCTGTATCACCATCACTGTCATCATCACTATCATCATCTGCATCACCATCATCACTGTCATCGTCATAATAACTATCAACATCACTATATCATCATCATCATCATCATCATCATCATCATGTCATCATCATCATCACTGTCATCTGCATCATCATCATCATCTGCATCATCATCACTTTCATCATCATCACTATCACTGTCATCATCTGTATCACATCACTGTCATCATCATCATCACTTGTCATCATCATCATCACTATCATCATCACTATCATCATCATCATCTCATCATCACGGTCATCATCATCATCACTGTCATCATCATCATCATCATCATCATCATCATCATCATCATCCATCACTGTCATCATCATCATCAGTGTCATCATCATCATCAATCATCATCATCATCATCATCATCATCATTGCATCATCATCATCACTATCATCATCATCATC